GTTAATAAATAAGAAAGATTCTATATAGAATAAGAAAACTTTATAGAATTAATTAGCTAAATAGCCTAAAAGGTCTTAATCTACTAAATTAAAGTACTAAGATTATAAATATCTCTAGTTATTATAATCTTAGATTCTATATATATACTTTTCTTACCGTTATATCTACTATATAATATTAAATTTATAACAATAAATTAGTAGCCTATAGTAAAAATAGTAGCTATAGAATAAAAAGCTTTACTATTACTACGAAGATATAATATATACTATTACTAATATAGAGATATAGGATTTATATAAATAACTATACTAAAGAATAGAAAGAGAATTAGGATTTAAAAATATAATAGGGATCCTAAATAAACTATTTTATAGATTAGTTATATACTATAGAAATATAAAAGAAAATCATTACTATAAAAAATAGATCCTTAAACAATATTAATAATAAAGAGGAGTATCTCTTAAAATTATAAGATATATAAATTCTTCGAAATCTAAAGTCAAAGAATTTAACCCCTATATAATAGATAAAGAAAAGTAATACTCTTCCCTCCAGCTTTTTTTTAATAAATATAGGTTTTTAGAGGGTTTAACGAGGTCGATTCACCATCGAAACCTAAATAACTCAATATCCTGCATATAGTTACAGATAGAGATATCTACCTTAGACAAAAGGATAATTATAAGAAGTCCTGATTTCATACAATATTAGAACGAAACGTTAGCGATACGCCAACGATTTATATATAAATCCCTAACTCCGTAGAAGTAGAAGGTTTGAACTAAGGACATAGATACAATATAGAAGATCCTAGAAGATTCTATCCTCTATAGAAACAAAGGTAGAGGTTATGCGATATTACCATATTATGAGTCGTGTATGTAAAGATATAGATTAGTTGACAGGTCATTATCCGGTCATCTTACAGAAGTGCCATAAAATGGGAAAGTCCCCCAGGACTTTCTCACTTCTGTAAGAATTAGTTTTGAAATAATCCACAAGACTACCAGCTCCAAAACCAGTATTGATTCGTTAGTGATTCTGTAGCGAACCGGAACTACCCCTACTTGATATCTTACTGGGTTGATAGGCCGTATGCCTGAACCTGTATACCTCTTACAATAATATTAATTATAAAACTCTATCTAAACTTAAGCTTAAAAAGGAAACTGTAACTATTTTGAAAACTCTCTAGAAATCGATTTAAAATCTTCTAAATCTTATTACTATCTATATTGTTTTGTTGAATGTAGATATTTTAGATCTTTCCGAGGATACACTAAAATATATTTATAAGAGCACTCATATTAATCCAGCTATTATATAGCTCTATATTAATAATAAAGATATTCTACTTTAAATCTTTGTAATAACTATCTCTAAAAATAGTCTAGATAAAAAGCAACTAATCTAATCTAGTTATATACTCTATATATAGAAATAAGCTATATTCTATATTGAATATGAAAAATAGCTTACTACTGCTTATTGTGAGTTATATTGTTATAATATAAACGGTACTTAGAGGGTTATTAATTGTTAATCTAGTCAACGAAAGTTTTTTACTCTACACTAGGTATTTACGATTAAATATAATAGTATATATAAAATATATTTTATCTGTTAAGGATTTAATTAGATTGAAAGTATTAATTTCTATAAACTATATGCTGTTATATCTAAGTTTATATTATTTAAAGTTCTTACTGTACTTACTACTTAGTGAAGCTAGTTTATCTATTATATTAATATTATTATAGCCTTTCTAAATACTAAAATAAAGGAATCGGTCTATATTAAAGTATTTGAGTCCCTACTTTAGTATGATTTAGAGGAGATTTAGAAGATGGGATTTTTAATAAAATCGATGAATAGTCTTAAATAGGTACTCTGAAAGTAGTATAAACTCCTATATGATATTTTGATTTCTATAAGATTTATCAAAACTAAAACAGATCATTTAGTATTTATTAAATTATTGTCTGGTTAGTCTATTCTCTATATTTTAGTCTATATTGATGATTTATTTATTATTTTACTATTTATTGAGATAATAGAGAGTTTTAAGAAGTAACTTATGAAATATTTCGATATTACTGATAAATAGGATATTCAGCAATTCTTAGGAATTGATCTTATTCAGAAACTAGAAAGTATTTATTTTAGTTAGGAGTATTATGTTAATACGATTTTTAATAGATTTAGTATAACTAACTATTCTAACGTTCTATTATTAATAAATAAGAAGTTGTTTCTTATTGTATTTTTAGGGAATACCTTAGTTCCGTAAATTAAGCTATTCTAGAAGTAGATTAGATCCTTAATATAGTTTATAGTAATAACTTGAATAGATATATCCTTCTTGATAACTAAGATTGCATAATTTATATCTAACTTAAATGAAATATATTAGTAGGCGTTAAAGTGGATCTTCTGATATCTAAAAGGTACTAAAGATCTATATATCTTCTATATTTTTGATCCTGTTTTCTAAATCTTGAAACTGAGTGTTTGGAAGGGTCTTAGTAAAATAGATACTAATTTAGAATCATATAATTATCCGGTTTGTAAGCTTATTAGTTATTATAGTGTAGATTAGGTTGGCCCCTACTCTGAAGTAGATTTTTCTACTTCCGGATTTATTTTTATAATCGTTGGAAGTCCTATATTTTAGATATTAAAAAAGTAACCAATTATCGTTCTATTAACTACAGAAGCTGAGTACGTAGTATAGGTGTTGAACGGCGAGTCACGTGACCACTCATCACGTGAGGTCACATGTCATGTCACGTGAGTGCCATGACACATGTGGTATGTCACATGACATATCACATGACATGTCACCTGACTTGTCATGTAATCCATGCTCGACCTTTCTTTCACCTCGCCTTTCTCTCTCTTTCTTTCCTCTCTCCAGACACAGAATACAGCTTTGCCAGTTGATATCTATCCAACCGTAGCTGTCTTCTATCAATAGGCTATTACAACATAAGAAGTAATATAGATTTTAAAGCTATTCTAATAACTTAGAATCTCGGTCTATAAGCTTATCTCTATTTATACCGATGATACAGATACAATTATATTATTTTTGAATCCTGAATTCTATATCCGTACTAAGTACTTTATTCTTAAGTGGAGGTTTATACACGAAAAGGTTATTGCCGATATAGTTGAGTTTGTTAAGATTCCTTCTTCGGAAATAGTAGTTGATAGTATAATGAAGCTATTAGCTAGGCTACTGTTTCAGAGATGGATATCTTAATTAAATATAAAGTATATAACTATTAGTTATAATTCTTACTATAATCCTATTAATATTTGTAGGTTTTGGGTGGTTTTCTTGATTATTTTAGCTAAGAATTCGAGACTGTTTTATTCTGTTCTTTATTATATTTATGTACGTTAGCTGGTTTGACTGAGTGCGGCTTATGGGGGGTGTCAGAGATTAAGGGTTCTTTTCTCCGAGTCATATGATCTGAGTTATGTGATATATGGTCACGTGATCTCGTCTCTTCTCTTTTCGTTTTACTCAGTCTTTTCTTTCTTCTCTTCCTTCCCTATATATGCCAGTCTCTACGTTTTGTGATCCTTTCCTAGTATCCTTGTAGCTACTGTCTATCAAAACCCATAATAGGTATTAGAGGATTTTTTTTATCTTGATTTAAGAGGGAATTAGTAGTATTTTAGAGACTTCTTCTTAGAAATATTATTCTTCTTAGATAACTAAAGAAGAAGAATTAGAATTATAAAGATTATATATTTATAAGTATATTATTCTATTAATTAAATAAAGATATAATGATTCGGAGAGAAAGAAGGAAGATAATATTTAGGAAGTACTATAGAATCAGGGTCTATTCGGGGATGGTTTAAGATTAATTCTTGGAGAATTAGTCAGAGCAGGGAAAGCCCCTTTTATATAGGTACCTCAAGTAGGGTTATTTGATCCTCTATGACCGATCCTTAGAACACGGGATTTGTATGGTTCTGTCAACTGTTGAGTCCCCAGGTTATCCTTTACAATTATATACCAACACCATATATTCTTGGTCATGCGTCTATACTGGGGCTGCCCACGTACTTGCGGTCGTACCTATTCCGGGCTATGTACCATAATTCCATATAAAGGATCGCTTATCCTTTATATCTATCTAATGTATAATTCTAATATATCTAATATATTTTAATATATTTTAATATATTTAATATATCTAATATATTCAATATATCTTCAGGCTTCTTTTACTGTATATTCATTCTATTCTGTTCGGTGGGTAGTTAGAGAATAATCTTGTATAACTTAAAAAGGTTGATCAAAATCTAATGTTAGGCTTCTGTCCCTAAAAGGATACAGGTGTGCTATGAACAAGGAGGTTTTGATAAAGAACGGTAAGCTAGCTATTGAGGTGTAAAATAAATATAGAATCCGTGCGGTCGGTGACAGCCGGTAGAATGCGTGGGCAAAGCCAAGCACAACTCCAAAGGGTTCGTTCGTACGAACCCATAACAGCTTTCTTTCTATCTTTTTTATATTTATCTCTTTATTTAATGTCAGTTATATAATCCACATCACGTGACTACCGAGGTCACCGGATTCACTGTATATGACTAGAACACGTGACCCATGTCATGTGATCAAGTAATACGTGACTCGTCTAGCACATGACACTCCCTATAGGATTTCACAGAAAGGATATCTAAAGCAGTATAACTGTAACTTCGAGATCTCACAAACACATAATGCCTGTATACTCATGGAACACGTGATGTCAAGTATATGACCTGATCACATGACATGTCATGATATGACACTCTTCTCTATGTTTAGCTATTTGAATTGATGCACCCGCTCCTTTTTGATAGTATTGGCTCATAACATAAACAACCGTTTAACATATAGAAAATCTCACATACTGTATCTTTCAAATATACTATAATTATGACGGTATCTGGGCGGTAAGTGAAAACATGGCTTTGCTTGGATGGTAGATCATATAAGACTAGAGATATAGCCCTTTGTATTTTCGTATACTAAGAATGTCACCCAAGTACTAGGGAGGACACGGAACAGGTTCGGCCCGAGACCTTTGTAAAAGCCCGCCAGGCCCTCCCGAGTCCATACCTGAGAGAGGACATCACAAGCCCCGCGGTAGACTACTCGGGCCTCGTAGGTTTGCAATCGGGACCTGATCACTTGATAAGGATAGGTAACACTCCCTGCAAACACCTTTGAAAGACTGGAAATGGCAAAGAAATCCACATTGCTTAACCGTCGATCGACAGTTCGCCCTTGCCCCAACGATTCAGCTTCCTTCGACCGCGACCTGAGGAGCTTCAACTGCTCATACGCCATGAACTGAAGGGCCCCGTGACTGACTCCAAACAAAGCAGGCACCAAGCCCCGATAAAAGCCGGGGATACCTTCCGCGCGGTATATCTGCCTTGCCCCGGATACAAACGAGGAATATGCGCCGGGGGCCTGAGAGCCTGTGGACAGCATACGGGTTTTGATGACCCAGACCGGGTTAGTGAGCACCGAGGTGAGGGCACCTGGGTGTCATCATTGGTCAGCGGGGAACATTGCAATGAACAACGAACTAGGATGCCTACCTGCACCACCGGAGGACAGAAAGTAGTCCGACGACAAGAGGATCTGCCCCCTTTGCTCGCGGTACTCCCGCACAGTTTCTTTCAAACTGCTGTAGCACAAGAAGTACAGACCCCAGCTCGTAGAATTTCCTATCACATTTGGGGTGAGTCCCCGATAGAAGGCGGCAAAGCCGCCCTCACGATGAAAGACCTCGCGGACGATGCGAATGGAACTACCGAATCGAGAGGAAGAAGATCGGTCGACTGTGCCGAGGTTAGCCCATAGGGACAAACTGAAGTGAGCGAGACTCGCCTTGTAGCCTTGTCTTGACCATGTCCAGTGGATGCAAGGTGAGAGTCGACGCGACTCCTGCTGTGAATCCCGCTAGGGTCTCCACAAAGGATGAAGAGAAGCCATGACTAGTCATGAACCCCCGCGAAGAAGTTGAAAGCAAGGGGAGATGGAGCGAAAGATAGAGAGGAAAAAAGGTGAGGGTCGGGGGTAGAAGAGAACAGAGTGCGAAACGGAGGTAGAAACCGATGGTTCCGGGACCGCAGTCGCAACGCCGCGGAGTTCAGAGACCCGGAACGACAGTGCTTCCCTGTGTACACGGAAGTTCTCTGAGTGTGTACACGATGCAAGTCTTAAGATGGGCATGTTGTAGTGAAAGAGAATTCATATTTGGTCCAAAACTAGCAAAGAAGACCTTAAAAATACAGAGAGAAACATTGTAGAGCTTCTCGGTTCAGATCTGGACCTCCAGATCCAGGGATGATTCCATCAGACATGTCCAAGTCCATACGTCCGTAACAAATCGAAATATCAGGTCGTTCAGGCGAGGGGGGAGAACAATCTGAGATTTTGTTAGCCAGAACTGGAAGATTTGCTACTCCAAGAGACTGCCATACCTGAACAGAGTGGGCTTCGGGTCGCTGTAGGTGTAGCCTGTCAAGTTATTGCATTAGTATGTGAGCGCACGCTTCAAGACCGATGCATCGCATACCCAGGTAGACAATCAGAGGCAGATATCCGCTAGACGGGGGTCAGCTCGGAACGTGGACCCAAAGGCAAAGAGAGATTGAGGCTTACTAGTGAATCGCGACTCGGGAGACGTCAATGACCTTGGAAACACGCTCCTGGATAAGAATGGGAAGTTAGCTACCGGGATAGGGGAAGTTGTTTCATCGCGAACCTTGGTCTCTTCGGAGAATTGAACCATTTTGAAGAAGGCGGGATTAAAGAGGATGTGAGGAAATCCGAAGAAAACGGAACGGAAGATTGCAGATAATCGTAGGTGATTCAAAAAGGCGAAGCTTGAAGAAGTCGGAGATATGGGGGTGGATGGGGTTGGAAGAGGATGCGGACAGAAGTTTTCGGCATGTCACTGATTCTCCCCCGGAGCTTTCTTCACTACATCTCGTCACCTCGCACATCGCACCTCGCACCCCATACTACCCTCATTCTCCGCAGTCGTCGCTTCTAGGAACCGAATCTCGTATTTAATCACAAGCTCCGGTTTCTCTAATCCGATCAACTCACCGGCGCCATGTCAGGCGCGCGGCATTGGTATATCACACTCCGCCACCGAAAAGGGATGCGTTGCTAACAGTCACCAGGGAGCAAGACAAGGAGGCCACTGTCTACGTCGGAAATATCGATGAACGGGCTTCGGACAGCCTTGTGTGGGAGCTGATGCTGCAAGCGGGGCGCATTGTCAATGTTCACCTGCCCAAAGATCGCGTCACACAGCTGCATCAGGGATATGGATTTGTAGAGTTCATAAGCGAAGAGGATGCCGAATACGCGTCCAAGATCATGAATGGAATCCGCCTCTACGGAAAACCGATTCGCGTCAACAAGGCGTCGGCCGATAAGCAGAAGACTGTGGAGATCGGTGCAGAGCTTTTCGTGGGTAATCTGGACCCGATGGTCTCTGAACAGGTTCTTTATGATACGTTTAGTCGGTTTGGTAACCTACTCAACCTACCCAAGGTAAGATGTCCCCCGGGCCCGAGGCAAAGAGTAAGGCGTTAACATACATCCAATTCCAGATTGCTCGTGACGACAGCAACCTCTCCAAAGGATATGGCTTTGTTTCTTTTGCCGACTTTGAGTCTTCAGATTCGGCCATCTCCAACATGAATGGACAGTACTTGATGAACAAACAGGTTTCTGTGCAGTACGCATACAAGAAGGACGGCAAGGGCGAGAGGCATGGTGACGAAGCAGAGCGAATGCTGGCATCACAGGCTCGCAAGCACAATGTTCAGCCACCAACCCAGCCGCTTCCACCCCAAGTGCCCAGACCAGGCCCAGGGATGGGCATTTCGGCGACTCCGCCTGTCATGGCGAATGGTGATACCACTCGACCCACGGGATCCGCGCCACCGCAAGCACCAGACTTCGGCATGCCCATGCACTATCAAAATCTCCCTCACAGCCGACCTATTCCCCCTCCTGCGCCTTCGCTGAACACTCCACCCCCTGGACTGCCGGCACGCCCACCCCCATCTCAAGCTGGGTATGGGGGGCCGCAATCTTTTATACCTCCTGGGTTTGGTCCTCCTGGAAGTGCCCCCCAGTTACCACCGGGCTTCCAACAGCCAGCATACAGCGGCAGCCGGTAACCTTTTGCTGCAAGGGATTGAGCATTTATAATCCCGAGCTCATTCGGGCAGAACGGGCATGGCCCCTTTGGTACAATTGACGAATTCATGGCTACATTGCTTGCTTACTTTCTCATGTACTCCGTACTTCGCTTCTTACTACAAAAATTGGTCCTCTCTGCCATTCACTCACCTTGCTACCTTGGCACTGTCCGTGTCCGAGGGCCGAGGGCCGTGGACCGTAGACCAGATTCCAGTGATTGTTCGCTCGATTCAATATACAAGTATTCAAAAGATGATAATAATCAATTGGTGCAGACACTCTTTTGCACATGTATCAGTTTGATTAGTTTTGAACCAAGCCTAAATCCCGGGTGGAAGGACCCCTTGATAGGACCAAAAGCTGCATAGCGATGGCCTTTGGCAGAGAAAGCAATAGACCCAGAGACGATGAACGAAAGAAGACGCTAAACAAGGAACTGATGGTATTAATGAATTATGAGAACGAAACGAATTTTGGGTCTCTTGGGCGGCCGTCCGGTCCAATGTTATTCTTTGCAAATCGTTGTTCCGTGTAAATACGACGTGCTTCGTCGAAATTGACCCGGCGGCCTTTCATGATCCTTCGAATATCTCTCTTGGCGTTTTGATCAAGCCCAGCTCTCGTATCGCCGTCGGCAATGTTGGCCGTGACATCGAAGTGGGATGAGCTCATCCCAGCCTCTAGATCAGCTGTAAAGCTTGATGGGAGGCGATGATAAAGGTAGTCGGGTACATGGACCAAGTGCATCCATCGGGACCTTGTGAGGTAAAGTGCTAATGACTGGTCAGGGTTCAAGCACAACATGAGAAACAAGGGTCCATGGAAGGAACACTGACCTGTTCCACCCACGATCACTGTGAATAGGAGGAAATAGGTGAGAATATAGGTCATGGTGAGTATGAGAGTTGATGCTCTGTAGTGTGGACTGTCTGGGGTTCTATCGGAATATCTCCTAGGAGTCAGGAAATGCACAGTTCAGGCTTATTGCTAGTGCCCAGGAAGGCATCGACCACAAGAGAGAGAAAAGAGTGACTGAGAGAGCAACGTCAGCCTTTCGTTGGCAGCCTGGAGGTCACCGGAAAGCTATCTGAGGCCTGAGGAATCAGGCATAAAACCAGGGGACATGAAGCTGCACAGGCATCAAGGCATCAAGGCTCCAAGGCATCATAATTATATTCTCGCAGGCATCAAGGCATAAGCGCTATTCCTAAAGTGGCCGCATTAGCGAGGACCCCAAGTCGAAGTCTTGGCATTCGAGACACACACAATTTGATCGACGTGAAAGACAGTATAGCGATTTCGATCTTTTCAACCTCCAACACCCTCATCACAATGGCCACAAACATCTCCAACGATCTGGTCTGGCAGATCACTCGTATGTTCGATCCCTTCAATTTCCGCATCCGGACTTTTGCTCCTTAATTTGGGAGGCCGAACTTGAGCTCATTGCGATTTTCTTCGGAACAGGCAACCAGAACTCTTTCCTGGTCAACCGCAACACCGGTGGTGGCTCCCAGTTCTCCCGCGACCCCCTGAATGTGCTCAACAAGCACTCCTACAAGGTATGGGTCGATTCATTCGCGCTGCATGGTGAGGACGAGTGATTAACAGCGTGGAACCATAGTATGCCGGTTATGCCAACAACAAGGTATGCCATCTGTCATTGCCCTGGATCTGGAATTCTTGTTGCTGACTCCCGCAGGCCATCGGTGTTCAGGGTACTGAGAACGGTGTCGCTGTGACCACCAAGAACCCCAACACTGTCCAGCAGCCCGCCAAGACTTTCGTTACTGTCAACTACGGTCCCAGCACCTCCACCCGCAAGTAAGGGACCTTCTGAATCCCGCCAATTCTTGTCCCACGCTGACCCTCGCTAGGATCTACAAGGGTGTTGCCGACAAGACCGCCAAGCACGGCTACCGCGCTGACATCCGCGAGGAGGCCGTTGCCCGCGTCAGCGCTGTCCGCCGCTCCCAGGTCCCCAAGAAGGATGCTCCCGCCCAGAAGCTCCGTGGCTCCAAGGCCCGCAAGGCCGCCGAGGCTTCCGAGTAAATTAGTCCCTGAAATGGAACTAAACCGTGGACCATGAAGGATTTGGATTGGAGGGGAGGCTAGGCTTTCCAAAGCCGTGCTGGACGTGGGGACTATCCATGCAATCTAGCCGTGCTCCGGGGCACCAAAATATGATACAAAAAGTCCCGTCCGACGATCCGAAGCAATTTTCTTTTCACCTGGACCGCCGGAAAAGGAATCTACCTGTAGTGTTCTGTAGTCTCTGTATCTGCACAACCGACCAGTCGGCCCGAGCCTCCAGTGTATTTTCGCCCGCCTTTTTCCGACCAGAGGCCGAGGGAAACGAACGAGAATTGCCGGAGCTTTGGAATAAGTTCCGAGTGCGGGCACCTCCGTCCCAGATACAACTGTGTCCTCCATCTGGGGAGATCTGAGGATGAAGACGTGTGTCTACCGGTGAGCGCTTCAGGTACGGAGTACTTGAGTAGTATTCAGCGAATTTCACCAATCTCGAGTACAGAATATAATGATTGACTCGCATCTTTGCTACTTTCAGATGCAATTCGATACCAAATTAAAGACCAAATTAAAGAACAAACTGGAATTAAATGGCCGGCTGTCTATACTTCACATGTCATAGGCCGACGTACTCCGGGGTTGCCCCTCTGCCCCTCTTATAACCCCCCCGGTCCCCTCTTCCTTCTCCTCACCATTCTTTCTTCCACAAATCTGTCATCATGGTTAAAGCTGGTGGGACTCACAGCTCCGTAGGATGTTGCCTTGCTGACCCTCCCGATAGTTGTTCTCGGAGCCTCTGGTGGCATTGGCCAGGTCAGTCGGCATTGATCGCATAGCGAGCTCGGCGAGCTCTACTAACACCTCTCTCTGGATAGCCTCTCTCCCTCCTGCTGAAGGCTTCTCCTCTCATTGATGAGCTTGCCCTCTATGATGTGGTCAACACCCCCGGTGTGGCCGCGGATCTTTCTCACATCTCCTCGGTGGCTGTATGTACATGCCCCGGAAAGTAGTTTCCAGTGTCCATTGCTGACCTGACAGAAAATCACCGGCTACCTCCCCAAGGATGATGGTCTGAAGCACGCCTTGACCGGCGCTGACATTGTGGTCATCCCTGCCGGTATTCCCCGTGAGTAATGTCCATCCAAGCCCCGCCGATGTCCCGTACTGAGTATGGTCCCATTCAGGCAAGCCCGGTATGACCCGTGACGACCTTTTCAAGATCAACGCGGGAATTGTCAAGACTCTGGTCGAGGGAATCGCTCAGTTCGCCCCCAAGGCGTTCACCCTCGTCATCTCCAACCCTGTGAACTCAACCGTTCCCATCGCCGCCGAGGTTCTCAAGGCCGCCGGTGTCTTTGACCCCAAGCGCTTGTTCGGTGTGACCACCCTGGACGTTGTTCGCGCCGAGACCTTCACCCAGGAGTACTCTGGCAAGAAGAACGCCTCCGAGGCTACGATTCCCGTCATCGGTGGCCACTCTGGCGAGACCATTGTTCCCTTGTTCAGCAAGGTTTCTCCCAACTTCCAGATCCCCACCGAGCGTTATGAGGATCTCGTGAAGCGTACGTCACTCACCCATCCCCCAATAACCACTACTGATAACCAACAGGCGTCCAATTCGGTGGTGATGAGGTCGTCCAGGCTAAGGATGGTGCTGGCTCCGCCACCTTGTCCATGGCATTCGCTGGTTTCCGGTATGCTTTCTCTCCACCCGAACTTGTCGGATAACTAATTGTTACTAGATTCGCCGAGGCCGTTCTCAAGGCTTCTCAGGGCGTCAAGGGCGTTGTTGAGCCTACATTCGTCTACCTGCCCGGTGTTCCCGGCGGTGATACGATTGCCAAGGCCACCGGCGTTGATTTCTTCTCCACCCCCATTGAGCTTGGAGTGAGTCCTCAATTCGAAGGTACTAGGACAGAGTAACTGACACACTCGATATAGCCCAACGGTGCCGAAAAGGCCATCAACATTCTCGACGGCGTCACCCCGCGTGAGCAAGAGCTTTTGAACGCTTGCATCAAGGGACTCGAGGGCAACATTAAGAAGGGTATCGAGTTCGCCCAGAACCCCCCAAAGTAAGGATCCCCCTTGCCTGTCAATCCCTATTTGTGTATATCGGGCACACCTTCTGTGCCAGTTCTGTTCCTTCAGTTGCCCGCTTCTCATCCTCCCGGTTCCGATAAGACCGGAAAACAGCAGAGCCTTGCTAATCAATGTTGTCCCCGAAAGATAGGCCCCAGCTGTGAGAACATGAGATTATGAACAACGAGCAGACACAAGAGCGTACGGTCTTCGAATCCGACGAGTATGTTTGAGTTATGTAGCAGCAAACCCGCGACAGACAGAAATGCATAATTACCCGTATCGTTTCAAGCATAATGCCTTCATGTAGTTGGTTGGACTTTCCTGGCTGTAGCGACTTGCAGGGGGTTTGACCTATCAAGGCGGACATACCGCAGCCATCCCGAGATTGGGCCCAGGACCAGCCCAGGACCAGCCACGGGCTTCAAGGCCGGGGTTGGAGGGTTTTGATTTGGAACGTCGCACCTGGTAGATCCGACGTTTCGGCCTGCACGGTGGTGTGAATGCCCAGGTTTGCTAACGCGCCCCTGATAATACCGCAGGGAAACCAAAGGTACTGGACAAATCAGTCACACCATCCTGATTAAGTGGCCGCGCAGATATCCTTACCGCCTGTGCCATCGATATAGCCTCACCCCGCACTGCCATGCTCATTCTCCCGAATGGACGGAACGCGCTATCCGTTAGAACGTAGACTCCCTATCCATGAATTGACATCAGCGTCACGGTCGTCCTCGGACAGTCCCAGAGGTATCGCGCCTCGCGATTGCAGTTGTATCGACGTACCCGGTGGTTCGTTTTTAAATTATCAATCTGCTTCTTGAATAGAACCGTCCAAAGGTCCTTACAGAGAAACTTGATCACATCGAGGTTATCGGTGAAGCGAGGTCGGTCTCGAGCGAATCTGCATATGAGCGTGTGAGCATGCTGCAAGATGAGGGCAGAGCATCCAGGGATCCAGCCTACCGCTCCGCAAGACCCTGTCCCACACGATAGCCCAGGGAGTCTAGACGAAAAAACGTTGCCTCCCTGACCTCTTCATCCTCTAGGTCCTTGCCCTCGGTCGCAAGTTCCTTGGCCATGCGCTCGGCCATAGGTACCAGTTCTATGAGCAGGAAATCGAAGCACGAGGAGCTGAAGACACGGGCATTGGGATCTGTAGAATTCAAGTGAGAGGTTGAATCAAACGACATGTCGAGAAGATAGAAGCGCGAAGGCCAAAAGCAAAGTTGCAATCAAAAGTAAGTAGGTGGTAAATGAGGGAGAGTAACGGGTGAAGTTGGGTCTGAGCTCGGCCCGAATCCGCTTTGGATATATACGTGTACCCCGTACTCCGTACTTCGTACGCGTCCTAAACATTTCGTTCCAGTATCGGACTTCCTGGGATTCGGTTGTCATTGCATTATGGCTTATTCAATTGAGTCATGTAATCCTTCCTAGATACAAGCGGATATCCTGATCCCCATCACGCCAGAAACTCCGAAAAAATGCATAAAGAAAGGGCCTGGGGGCTTGGTAGCTTGGAGATTTTGCTCTAAGATGAAGGGGGATAGGCCCCATTCAAAGGGCTACTGGCAGGCGGGGCGTAGTACTCTTGTCGGGAGAAAGGTCGAGAGGGCAAGCTCGGTGCAAGTCGTTTGGCAGGTGGCCCCGGGGAATCATTCTCTTCATCTCCGCTTTCAGTAAGATCAATGATTTGAGACACAGGCCGCTTTTTGCTCGACTGACGAATCGCAGAAGATGGGGTTGAAGCTTCTCGGGACTTGGATTGAGCGGGTGTTCGCTCTAAAGCGATATTGGGGAGACCCAGGTCTTGATTTCCAGGCTCTTGTTTCACGGCCGGGAGTCCGGGCTCAGTGATCTCGATCAGATCGTCGTCGTCATCCGATGTTGGAGTCATCCCGCCCGGATTCGCTGCGTCCGAGTCCGTGGGCCTTGACCATACTCCATTGGGTTCAACTGTGACCTGATCAATCTGGGAGGATGTCGTTTGGAGGATGTCATCGACATATCTGTTCAATGAGTCAGAATGGATGCAATACATGTAAAATTGGGGATAACGAACTGATCGACTTGCAAAGATTCGAAGCTCGTCGATTTGGAACACACGGGGCACGTCCACGTAGGAGCCTGTTTTTGCAATTCAAGGAATGACGATGCATCGAAGCACTGGTTGTGTGTGCAAATGATAGAGCGGCAAGGCACTTGAATCCGAAGAGTAGAGAGAGGACATTTGAGGGACATGACACTTGAGGTCGCAATAATGTCAGTGTCACTTGCTCGGTTTTGCACTACCAGCCACTGATTAGATTGAGATAATAGAAAAAGGAGTGGCAGGGCGTTTACTTTCGCGTATAACTTGCTCTTTCGATATAAGTTTTCTTGTCTTCAGTTCTGATACAAGGTTCTCGATGGGATGTTGCTGAACGAGATTGGCCAGTGCAAAGAATTTCTGCATCCTAAGTCAATTCTTCAACCCGAAAGACATTCGATCCACCGGGAGAGCAAGTAGATCAGGTAGAGCTGTTGAGAGACCTACCTTGGATGTCAGGGCATAAGTCATGACTATATTATTGGGATAATGTGCCTTTTTGCGGATAAAATTGGTGACATCTGCAGGCTGTGTGGTGCCAGGCCTATTTTTCAGACCCCGAAGGTTGGCTTTGACTTCATCAAGATTCACCTTGAGCTCGACTTGGTGTGGAAACGCGATGTCTGACTTGGTGAACTGTGTGAGGCCTGAGTCACCCGCACAGTATACCATCACTCGAATGTTTGGATCTGTCTGTAATTTGTAGGCTGCTGATTGGGAAAGCATAACCTTGAGCTCAACACTATCTCTGGTGTTTTCGCGAACTGCAAAAAATTAAATCATGTCCTAGGCATTATATTGTGACAACTTACTCTTGCATTCCACCACCGGCGTAAGGGATTCCACCACAGTAAAGAATGGGCTGTCTTTGAAGATCAAAGGACCTGGGGATTTTGGAGCTGGCGTTTTCATGATAGGGGCGCTCGGACCAGGAGTATATGGATATGGCGATAATGAAATCCCGGGGGCTGTAGAGGCTGTAGACCGGGCCTGTGTAGGAGACTGAGAGACAGGTGGTGCTTGATACTGCTGTCCCGCATGTGCCGAGTATGGCGTGGAATTGGGGAAAGCAGTAGAGCGAATGTGCGTCGCAAGGACATCATAACTAACCGTGTCTGATTCTGCCAGACTTTGAAGTCCTATTTGAGCAAGTTAGCGGGCACATGCAAAATTCACCGTTTGACTGTGTGAACGCTGGCAAATGACTAGAAAAGGAATAAGGGTAAAACCAAGCTACCAATTAGAGGGGCATACGCACGATGTATGATGCGGAACTGCAAAGCTGCCTTCACACCAGATACTTGAAGTCCCTCATGCCTCAGTAAAAGCTTGAGCTGTGGATTTGTCAGGGTCTTGATGTACGCTGTCAGTGTTGGTACATCTGACGCTTGGTTCGACATGATTTTAGAGAGATGTGAAAGCAATCAGGGGCTTGGTCCACTCCTCGAAAGGCAAGAGTCCAGTTCAGCCAGGCCAGTTATGGATCTGCATCGATACATTGGCCCTGAGGGGAGAGGTGCGTGAATTGGCGCGAGGAACTCGATCAAGAGGAAGTCGAGCCTCCGGATGACATAAGATCCCTATCGCGGGAGAAAAGCGTTATCGCAATGTCCTCACTTTTCTTTTTCTCTCTCTCTCTCTTCTCACACTCGATCAGGCCGCTTTGATCAGTCACATTTCATTCTCGGTTGGCAATTTTCTCGCCTTTGAATCTCACCCCTGTTTCACCATGGCGAAGAGTATCCGTGCCAGCGTTTCCAAGCGCAACCGCGCGACTTTGCGCAAGAATTTCTTCGGTCCGATCGTCGATGCCAGAACCGAGAGGCTCCATGCCAAGCTCCAAGAGCTGGCTGATAAGCCCCGACCTGAGGCTCCGGAGAAGTCGAAGCGGGAGCAGGCTGAAGATGAGGCCGGTATGTGCATTGCCTGCCCCTCCACGAATACACGCTTACAACCTACAGACCAAGCAGCCAAGGCCCAACTCGGGGGCGATGAAGGTATGTCTTGAGCTATTCATTCCATTCAACGCATTACTAGAATCTAACTTGTCATAGCCATGGATGTCGATTCCAAGGCCCCCAAGAGCGCCAAGAAAGTCGGCCGTGTGCAAAAGCGCAACCAGAAGCCTCGCAACTCCATCGTTTTCAAGAAGCGTCAGCCGTCCGGCAAGAGAGGCACCAAGAAATAAGGGAGCTTCCAAATAGAATCAGCAAAACGGCGTTTGGGGAGTCCGCTCACGATTACATACGTACATATGTGCTTCATAGTGATATACCGCAGAACTGAATTGAATTCAATGTCAACAAGAGGCTTCCCGGGACCTCAGTGGGATGCATACGGAGTAGTGAGTAGTGAGTACGGAGTGATCCATAGCGAATATGAAATACCCGGGGACGCCCCGGTGGAGTTTGGGGGATATCGTCAATATCGCCGAAATGGGGCGGTGTGGAGAGACGCGTCGATGGCTGATTCTGCCCCTGTTCTACTTCAACCCACCTGGGCAATTCAGCTATGATTGAGTGAGTCTTGCTGGACCACCTGAACACAATGGGCCTCCGCCGCTGCACCACTGTGATCGCAAACCTGCTAATCCCAGTGGGCATCCTCATCTTTTCCTCGGGCTTCTTCCCATACAAACCACTAATCCCAGGACTGGCGACCTTGGAGGCGGATGACGTGGCACCTGCAATCTTTGACAAGGTCATCTTTATGGTGGTGGACGCACTACGAAGGTATGCTTTCGGAACTGTTGCAAGATCGACCAGCAGCTCATGAGATACAAGCGATTTTGTCTATTCGAATCACTCGGGGTTCCAGTTTACGCAAAGGTGAGTGGAGCTTCCCGGGGCAGACGTTGTCAGTGCCCAATTGACTTAAATATAGCCTGATTCGTTCTGGCGCGGCTGTACCGTTCACGGCGTATGCAAGTTCCCCAACCGTCACCATGCCTCGATTGAAAGCCATCACCACCGGGTCCGTCCCATCGTTCTTAGACGTCATTCTGAACATTGCAGAATCGGACACTTCGTCCACGTTGGCATACCAGGACACATGGCTAGCCCAGTTGAAAGCCACAGGAGGACGGCTTGTCATGTACGGGGATGACACCTGGCTGAAGCTGTTCCCCGGGATGTTTGACCGCGCCGACGGAACCACGAGCTTTTTCGTGTCGGTGCGTACATTAGGCTCTGCATATACAGTAGCATCGAAACTCAGATTCTCCAGGATTTCACGGAAGTAGACCATAATGTGACTAGGCATGTTTCCAACGAGCTTTCCCAGGATGACTGGTCTGCCTTTATTATGCATTACCTGGGACTCGATCATATTGGACACAAAGCTGGACCCAAAAGGTATTACAGTGGCCCTCGATTTCGATTTGGTTCTGACCTTCCACCAGCCCCTTTATGGTCCCCAAACAGCAGGAAATGGATGGTGTGGTGCAGGAGGTCTATACCGCGATGCAACGGCAACAGCACCTCCAATCCACCCTCCTCGTCCTATGTGGAGACCATGGCATGAATGAAGCCGGCAACCATGGCGGGTCATCCGCTGGTGAGACGTCGCCCGCGTTGCTCTTCATGTCGCCTAAATTTGAGACACTCGGTAGCAGAGCAAGCCCCGTGGAACCATCGGGAGACATGGTATACTATCAAAGGGTTGAGCAAGCCGATATTGCCCCAACTTTGGCCGGTCTATTAGGAGTTCCAATCCCTTTGAACAGTCTGGGTGTATTCATCCCGGATTTCCTGGAAATGTGGAGTGAGAGTATGTGTTTCCTGAAGAGATGCCCCCGGCTCGGACTGACGTGGGTCATTCAGGTTCTGACCAGATTCGCATTCAATATCAGAATGCGAAACAGCTGCTGAATACCCTGACGACTACTTTCCCGGGATCTGTCTTCAAGCCTGCCAGTATAGAGTCTTGTGGTAAGGCCTCATCCGGCATGGAAGGTGCCCAATGTGCGTGGGCTCAGGTCCAACATGTTCTCGCCGGTGGCCCTGAAGGTGTTGCCCATTCGGCGGCCGGTCCCGCATTGTCGCAGTTCTCAAGGATTGCCCAGGCTGTTATGAGCCGCACCGCGAGTAATTACGATGTATCCAGGCTCGGACTGGGGCTTCTGGTCACCGCGCTCGCGGCCTTGTTCGTTCTTCCAACTACCGTCAGGGAGTGTACGCGACAGAAACCACCGGGGTTATTCTTGACGATGATAGTCATAACCTATGCAATCATGATGTTCGCAAGCAGCTACGTGGAAGAAGAGCAGCAGTTCTGGTATTGGATTTGCTCCGGATGGATCTTCTACCTGCACATTAAATCACAATCTGCCAGGCCAGGGCACACTCGCCCAAGCACCATGTGGCCTGGAGCATTTTCTATTCTACTTCTCGCCGTCTGTCAACGACTTCTTAGGCGGTGGAACCAAACGGGGCAAAAGTTCGCCGCTGAGCCTGATATCGCGCACACCTTCTTTGGGCGTCATCCGGAGGTCTTTTGGCTTCTTCTTGCTCTAACGTACCTCGACGCCGGTTTCCGTCTTGTGCGTAATGCGCGCCTCCCAGCGCTCGCCAGACTAGGCGCGCTGGCTCCCGCTGTCTTGGCCTTCACTTTCAAGCTACATTTTGTGGCATCGGAATCCCCCGAACTGCTGGAGGGAACATTCCTCTCCCGTGTTGTGGGTGGCTGGCTCTATAGTGTGTCCCTGGTGCTCCATGCCAGACTTGTGTTTGGTGGCCTCGCTGCCATTGCCCTGCTAGCACTTTTTGGTCGCAAACCCTCTCACTCTGCCCAAGGTAGGTTGGCCTCGCTGATATACTGTCTACCCAAGAGTGCAATGCTGATCAAGACTACAGCAACGCGCGAAAGCATTCATGCAGCCTTGCATGTCTTCCTTATGACACAGTCTCGTGCCACGAATGTGCCCCTCTTCCTTCTTTTCCGAGTCACTGCCCGAATGATCGTTGCCATGAACCTCACCGGGTTTGAAGTCACCATCACCACTTTGATCTTTCAATACATGACCTTCTTCGCCTTCGGTGGCTCGAACGCCATTTCCTCGGTCGATTTGGCGAGTGCTTACAATGGTGTTGGGAGTTACAATGTCGCCCTGGTGGGTGTCTTGACCTTTGTGAGTAACTGGGCGGGCCCTATCTGGTGGGCTTCGCAGGGTCACCGCTTGCGATCCCAGAGTGCCCACGACGCCTCCGCCCTACTGACCTTCCATGTCGCCATGTCCATGATCTCTGTCATGGCCGCCTGCACTGCGCTTCGGACCCATTTGTTCATCTGGACGGTCTTTTCGCCGAAATACCTCTACAGTATGGCGTGGGCACTTCTCAATCATGCCGCTATCAACTTACTCGCCGAGGTGTTGTTCTCTCGATCTCGACATCATATTTCATAGTCCGTCCCATTTGAGCTCCATACAATCACATAATTACGACAGAAAGCACAAACCCAACGCAGGCTGTAGAAAGGGGTATAAAACCAATTAAAGTAAATCGCTGAACAAATCGTCAATCGCGTTCTTCTTCTTCTTCTTCTTCTTCTTCGCACTCTTGACATCACTGAGAGTCTTGTCCACTGGCTTTTCTTTGACGGCAGCCCGTTCATCAGCCTTGTCAGACCGGCAAATTTGAGCTGGATGGGTCGAGGCTGTCTCCACCCGCCTGATGCGTTCTCCGAGATCCTCCTTCGGAATCACCGAACGAGATTTTTGGATTCTGTTCGCTGGAGATGGCTTCTTTTTCAGTTCTTGGGTGATGCCCGTAATCTTAGACAAGCGCGCCAACGCAGCCAACAGCACCACGCCCAGCGTCGAAAACTGATTATCAGCAACGACTGTCGAAAAGGCGCTAGTTAAAAAAACATCAGCACAAGCCCGGCGTTTTCAGTGAGATACATACACGTAACATTTCGGTATCAAGATTGCCAGGTGCCTTTTCTGGGCCTCGCTGCTGGCCACGGAGTGTGACTGTGCCAGGTCCTGGGTGGCGCGCTTCAACATTGATAACCACTTCCACCATTTTGTTCGGTGGTGTTGGTTCTTATTGCGATGGAAGATGAGATGAAGGACGGAGTGCACCGTCTGTAAATCTTCCATCGGTGGTCGGTTGTCAGAGTTGTCGTTGAGTTGCGCAGAAGTTCAAAAGCGGGTCCACTCCCGCTCCGACTTGCTTCTACTTGTCTACTTCTCTACTTCTCCTCTGACTCTTTCACATCCCCAATTGTTTTTGTATTTCCTATTTTCCTATTTGGTCAATATCAAGGCCTCAAGCTCACGCTCTTCAAAGCTACCCAACTTCAAAGTCCGGGGCTCCGAGGGCATGGGCACTAAATTCTCGCATTTCCACCCCCTTTGTTTTTATGTTTCTGTTCCTTTTTGCAACTGTTTTTGTGATTTCGATTTTCCATTAATTGTGATGATGATGATAACGGTTGTCTCCGACCAGGTTCCCAGACGAGAGGCGACGACAGACTCGTGGGCTGTTCATCGTCGGTCAGTGGAAGGGTAGGGTCGAGGCTCCATTTTGATGGGGGAGCCAGCACCCCGAGGTGAGTTCATGAGGAGACGATTCTCCTGACGGACCATCCGAGGCGATGTCATCCGGGGCGAGTTCTGGGCAGCCTGTGACGTCGAGGCTTGCCGAGGCCGGTGGCGAAAAGCTCGAGGAGACGCTCCAGCTCCCTGTCGGGTGGCACGAGGAGAGATGAGGTTTCCGTTACGATCCCGCTCTCGAGGAGATGCTCCAGTTGAGCTCCGATTGCGCGGAGCGTAAAGCCCTATAGAAACTCAGATTCCTGTTACTGTGATAGGGCGCAGAAAGACTGACCTTGGTGGCTCGTGTTAGCAACCGAACGTCGAAGCTTGTTAACGTCGTTGGGAGCCGGGAACGGTGCCTCAAATCCCGCGCGGGGGCCAGTCACATGAAACAGCTTTATCCAGTCAGTCTCGGCATACAAATATATCATTTATTTCACTCACCCGAGGGCGTTGTTCGGCGGGCCGAAGCATAATACCGCTGTTGCGGAATTTCGCAACCAATGCCTCAGTGCCTTGCTGAGCTATGGACATGGTCAGTCATAACATCTCGCAAGGAAGACGGGAACCACAAACTGGCATAGGAAACCTCGGCACGCTTGTCCGAAATGCTGTCCGGCCTGGGAGATACGGTCAGCAAATGTGTGCGGTACTATTCGCAGAGAGTGTCTCACCAGCTCTTCCCCTGGATATTCGCCCATAGCTGCGCCAATAAGTAAGTACATCTTACCCATAAGTCCACAAGGACAATTACTCACAGTCAAGATATCCCGGGGCTGTCCAAGAGAGTTAGCATGAGACACAAAAGAAAATGCGGGAAATTGCTGACCTCGCAGAAGTTCACGAAGGCATAGCCAACGCTAAGAGAACGGTAAGCATTGAGCAAATGGAGAGCGCACGGAGCAAACAGCCTTACTTGCAATGATGCATGAAATCTAGAGTTCGTTAGCTCTCAACTATTCAAAACAGGACACAGCTGACATACCCATGCGTAGGTAGACAAAGTCGTATCTGGCAAACACCCACTGATCGAGGATGGTTTTAAAGGTATCCTAAAAGAGGATGTCAGCAACGACAAATGTAGCAAAGAGACGCAATACCGTACCGCGGTGAACTTGTTAGGAATGTTGCGGATCATGACCGTGGTCCGCAAATCTTCGCCACGTTCGACCTTGAGAAGATCAATCACATGCTGTTCCTCGATGGTGTCGGAGAGCTCGGGCGAGGTTGGGTCAATCTCCATTTTCGCATTTGGTGAGCACTGGAAAGGGGTGATAGGGCTCCGGGGCGAGCCGGCATTGCGAGCCTGGGTGTGCAAAACAGACAGCGGAAGGCTGACGTCGAACCGGAGTGTCTGAAAGTACATCAGCATTGAACAGTGTGAGTAGGAAAGCAGGGACTTACATCCAAGAGCAAATGGTTGAGGCAGGAGTATGCATGGATGGCATGTTGGACGTTAAAATACTCGACTCGGTATTCCCGCACGCTGGCGTTTTCCTCGCTGACACGATTGCAATAGCGCACGTCTCCAAGTGCTTCGGTGACGTTTGCCACGTACTCATCGGTCCTTTGGTCAAAGTCACGCACTGGCGGCTGGGTGTCAATCAGCGCACAAATCACAAGTTGACCATCCTCCGGGCTCGCCATGCTGTGGAATGGTCCATTCAGACCAGCGGACACTACCTCCGCGATGGTGGCATACTTGATATTCCATGCAGGGTAGGCCCGAGGAATCTGGTTGAAGGCATCAATGGCCTCGCGAAGATCGGCGAACACGACGGAAAATCTGCCCGAAGCATGAAGTTGCTGGATAAAGACTCCTTCCAGGGTACCATATCTCGATCGCTATGTTGAGTTAGCTTTCGCCCCATGTTCGACCATCCGAAATCACTCACGGGAAACAACGCGAGCACGTTGGTATGTTCGGTCTCCTGAGCAACACCCTCCACGATGATACCTCGGCGAGGAATGAGCCTAACAGCACCGCCTGGGGCTCGTGGAGCTGTCATTTGAATGCCAGCCGGGGCACGAACCATCGCGGACGAAAGGTCTTCACCGGCAGCTTGGCGGGCCGGGTGTTCACCCTTTGTGATGCCAGGGGCAGCTTGAACCGGGTTGTAAGTGAGCACACGCCCTTCCTGGGAGGGTGAGTACCGAGCCTGGGGATACCAGTCTTGATTCTCATCACGAGTGTGGTCGAGACCGAAAGGATATTGCGATTGCGCGATTATCTCCTGGGCGCGTATGGCGGGATCCTGCAAACCCAATGAGGAAACTGATGGCAAATAATAGCGACCGGTCGCATCCCAGGTGGTCGGCAAAGGCTGAAGCTGGCCATGAAGTGGAGGCAGCACGACAGGTGCGTTCTGTGCCAAAACAGCAGACACAGCGGAACCAGGCGCAACGTTGATGTCATCCCTAACAGCACCTGAGAGCTGAAGCTGATCGGTCCAATTGGCGAACGGATCACTGGCTCACCATGTCAACAGCGGCTTCATGTCGGGGTTAGGATGATTACTTACACGCGGGCGCCATGGGCCTGCATCCCCGGCAAAGTAGAAGCGCGGCGAACCGCGGGGTCGGAGGACTGCGGGTCAAACGCCAGAAGCTGCTTGGAAGGCGAGCCTCGAATTGGGGGTTCAGCCATGTCGTCCGAGAATCTCTATGTGATCGATCAAGTCAACCGGTGAACTTTTTTCGAAACCGCAACAAGGTTGTTGATTTCCTTTCTTTTATCCCGAGATCCCCTGACGCTGTTGAGGTACACGGGAATAGACTCAAAGGTGGGAACAATATACACACATACCATTAAGGTCTTAGGTCGAGTGCTGGTTCAAATCAGATGATTCAGACTGGAGTCGACGGAGCAAGGTGAGCTGGATTCACAGAAAGGTGGGCGGTAAGCAGAGTCAGAAGAGGGGGGGGGGGGGAGAGAGAAAGATCTCCAGCAGCGGCTTTTCATTCGAGTCGATGACTCGCCTGTACACAGGGACGAGTCGTCGATGTGACTCGCGGCCACGACTCATCCACACGACTCATATATACAGTCCGTACATACGACTCATCCACACGACCGACTCATACGTGAGGCCAAACTAATGACCCGCTCGCTAACTGAAGTCAATAGGAAGATTTCAGTCCTTAGGAGTACTCCCAGGGATCATCCTATTCCATATTTCTCACACAGGCTACCACTAAGCTTTCACAGCCATCATACTCATCATACTAGATGTTAGATAGGATTTGTTCAAACATATATACCTTATAGAGCCCCATTGACCAAGTGTTCTAGTACTAACTTATCCTATACAAACTGAGACTTATCATCTATAAACCAAGCCTCAAATCTGAGTTCACTGGTGAATATACCTAGGTAGATATTAAGACTGCGTGATTACGATCTAAAGAATATAGCAAACTTAGGGCTATATTGACTGCCAAGACATATGGATCAGACCGCCTTCAATGACGTTCCGCTATCTCCCCCAGAGCTATCAATCCGACCACATTACAGGTACAACCCTACTCTGTAGACCTGACTTATTGGCCCTTGGCTATGAAGTCGAGTCTTTATGCCTGCCATGGCTCCACTCAGTGAGCCACATGTATTAAATCAAGTCAGCTATCCCTCAGGTTGATCACAGCCCGTACTGATCGCGAATTACCCCCAGATCATCATTTCCCCCTCAGACACAGACTATTTGGATCAGCTCATTCCGTCAATACGAGATTACAGTGTTGGGAATCGAACCCCCCAGCTCTTGCAATCCCTCTCGCGCTTTGCCGGGGACAAGGAATCCGAGATAGAAGGTATCTGCAATACAAATCACCAAGAGTTTGTTTCATCGGTCAATTCCCTCCTTGGCATCCGCGAGGGGACAGTGAGCCTCACGGCGGAAATCTTGGATCTCAATCAATCCATCCAAACCAGCACCGAGCGCCTTGCCGAACAGAAAAAAGCGCTGGTCCAATCCCGGGGCCATCGACAAAACATCGATGAGACTTCACGTGCTATCCAGGACTGCCTGGAGGTATTGCGATTAGCCAACCAAGTCCACGATCTTCTCGCGAAGAAGAATCACTATGCAGCTCTACGTGCGCTAGAGGAGCTCCAAAATGTCCACCTGAAGGGCGTGACGCAGTACAAAATCGCTGTCATGATCCAACGCTCAGTCCCGGCCACACAGCGAGCCATCGCAGAGGCCGTGATGTCAGATCTGAATACTTGGCTCTACCGCATCAGAGAAATGTCTCAGTACCTCGGGGAGATCGCGCTGTTCCACACGGATCAGCGAAAGACCAGACAAAAGCAAAGAGCGGAAAATATGCCTTATCTAGAGCATTTCAGCTTAAATTCTGCGATAGAACTAGTCTCCGACGAAGACGAAGAGTACGATCTCCTTCATAACGAGGACCTTCAGGTTGACTTCACACCGCTGTTTGAGTGCTTGCATATCCACCAATCGCTGGGCCACATGGATAAGTTCCGAATCGAGTATGCGACTACGCGCAGAAGGCAAAAAGAACTCTTGCTCCCATCTTCCATCACCCTCGTTGACGAAGATGGCTCTAGCCTTCACAATCTCTTGGAAGAGATGGCTGGCTTTGCTATCGTCGAACGTGCCACAATGAAACGAGCTCCTGATCTCAGATCGTCCGTTGATGTAAGCTGAATACTCGCGTACATATTCTTGGACTTTACACTTGCAGGAACTACCGCCAGTGATCTAACCGCTTCACAGATCGATGAACTATGGGATTCAATGTGCCAAGGGGCTGTGGTGTTGATTGCCAAGGCACTTCACGAAGTCGATAACGCCGAAAGTATCCTGAATATCAAAAACCTCATTGCGCTTTTTATGCAGACCATGAATGTGTGTGCTTTTTCCATTACGAAACGCCTCAGTCGCTGAACATTTAATTTCACAGACATGGAGTTTTCCGGTTGGAGTCTTCGACGACTTCTTGTTGAAACTTTTCGAAAAGTACGCGGAGCTGCTCAAGAAAAGGTTCAGTGACGACTTTCAAGAGGTGAGACCAGATGTCCTTCTTGGTATATCAATGGGGTTTGACACTGCCAGATTGTATCAACGGATGATTACATGCCGATGCCCATACAGACACAGGAGGAGCATGACAAGGTACTCAACGTGAGCTGGTATAGCCCGGAGAAGCCTCGCGAAGAGCAAGTGTAAGTTCCCTGGCCCATCTCCGCGCTTCTCTTTCAAGCCTAACCGACGATCCACCAGTTTTCCATGCATCCTACCATTCTCGCGAATGTACCCGCTGTGTTGTATTGATATCCGAAACTTTCTGAATCAGTTCTACTTTTTCGCGAACGACGGTTTTGCAAACACAAACGTCATTGATGAGACTTTGAAGACTGTAGGTCCACCTTCAACAGATCCACCGATTGGGACGAATTTGCTGACGATATAGGACTTGGACGACCTTCTCTCCCAAAAGGTCTGTGACACGTTGGTAGAACGACTTTCTTCGCAGTACTTGGGACAAATTGTTCAGATTCTTATCAATTTGGAGCATTTCGAGCTGGCTTGTCGTGAGCTCGAGCTCTTGTTGGCGGCTGCTCGATCACAAAACTCCACTGGTACTTCGATCGCCCTGAAAGCTACTGAGAAATTCCGAAGCAACAAGAAAGCTGCGGAAAAGCGTATCTTTGAAGTTGTCAACTCCAAGATTGACGATCTTATTGAAACGGCTGAGTACGAATGGATGTCCCCCACGCCTCCGACAGAGCCCAGCAATTATATGCAAACCTTGACTCGGTTCTTGTCGAATATCATGAACTCCACGCTATTGGGCCTACCGACGGAAATCAAAGAACTTATTTACTTCGACGCTCTTAGCCATGCTGCTAACATGATTCTGGTGAGCTTTTCTCAATTTAGCTAACACATCTTCTTGGCTTGGAGCTGTACTAACCTTTCCTACAGGCGCAACCGCTGTCGCCTGATGTGAAGAAAATCAACACCAACGGAGTATCTGCTCTGGCGAAAGATGTTGAGTATCTTGCGGAATTTGTGGATAGTTTGAATGTGCCCATCCTCCGCGAGAATCTTGACGAGCTGCAGCAAACGGTGCAGTTGATGCAGGCCGACAGTGCAGACGAGTTCTATGACATTTCCACAAGGAACAAGAAATACGGACGTGTGGATGCCATGCAAGGGCCAATCCTACTCGAAAAGTACGTATTCGATCCGGCGACCGGAGTCCCATAGTTGCATACTGACCGCTTATTAGACTTACACGCAATGTCCAAGCTCCTACCAAGACCGACAAGTTTGCCCAACTCTCTTCACGTTTCAAGAAGACTGGATAAAACTAGGAAGACTCCATGTCACAGACAGAATATCGCTGACTAGTTGGATTGTGCCGGCGTCGGTTTCAGATGTAAGGTCTACTGTTTAGTTAGTTAATGCCATACCTGGACTCGTTTGTCGTATCTTTTCCTGGTTTTGTTCATTTTCGAAGAGAAAAAAAGGAAATATTGAATTCTAAAGGAGCCCACACCTAAGCGCGTCCTCGTCAGGCCCCGAGATCATTGGTATCAGCGATTGTCGTTGGCGTGAGAACATTGGAAAGAAAGGAAACAAGATGAAACAGAGCGTGAAGCAACAAAGACCAAAATTCGCCTAGGAACGCGTATGAAATATTAAGATGAAACCATATATTCATGGCATGCTCACTTGATGGCCGATTAGCTCGCCGATTAGAAATCAGGTGGAAGGTCATACCTGCTGGGGAGGAAGATGCGGGTAGGCATACATCCCCTCAAACATTTGCGACTGGGGCTGTCCATACGCCGCCGTTGGGTCTGACTGGACGGTACCAGGGTACATGGCGGGTTGCGGGCGATACTCTTGGTCTTGGGGCATCCCGTGTTGTCCCAGGGCGCTATAGTCCGCAGGACCCATGTGCTGATGGGGCTGGACGCCATGGGGGGCCGTTTGCATTGGGGCCGTCGAGGGACCTGGGGCCGTGGCACCGGCCTGGCTAGACCGTTTGGCGTGCGAAGTCGCCTCTTCGCGCGGAACGATGTCAATCAAGAAATCGAACATATCCGATTTGGAGAGCGCGGCGGCAATGTCTGACCGCTGGAGCGTGCGGCGCTTGTTGTCTTCGGCGTGGATCCAGGCGCGCATGGTGAGCTCGGTAATGAAGATATCGCACCCCTTTGCAAACAGGATAGGTGCCTCTGCAGAGATCATCTTGACCTCGGGGTCAGCTTTCATCACCTTCTTGATGCGAGCCAATGGAAGCTGGTGGATCTTGTAATCGTGGTTATCGGATTCGAGGTGGTTGATGACATGTTGCCAGTAGGTCGTCAGAATATCACGCGCAGTTCCCTGGAGGCCTTGGTTCACCTAGTTGCTGTGAGTGTTGTCCAGGTGGGTGCAAGATGGACCGCATCGCCCACTTACATTGGCCCAAGTCCCGGTGTATAGCTCGGCGACTGGCGCGTAGCCTTGTGCCGAGAGCTGTCCAACGTCAGTTGATATTCCACGTATTCTGCGCGGTCTTTCCCTCGAGGTCTCAGGTTCGCGTGAGGTTCTCGAAACGTACCGCTGCGCTAGCACCTGTAAAGATGATTCATATCAGTCTCAATGTCACGAAAGGCCCTCCAGGCTATCAGGGGTCGGATCCTACGACGAATCTAGGCGCATCCACAAGCTTGGAGCTCAACTTACCATAGTGTCCCCCGTTTCTGATATCATAGACTGGCTGCGGCTGCTGTTGTCGGCTCTGTTGTCCAACACTTTGAGGCGCGGGCTCCATGTTCGAGGTGAGGGCGAGTGATGCGACTGGGATGGGTTAAGTCGAGAGCCACGAAAGATATCTACTGCGAGCAATGGCCAACAACAGTCGAGGTGGTCGAGGTTCCAGTCGCGTTGGGTGCCAAGGTGATCAGCTATCTGACGTTTCCGGGCCACCCCTCTGCGCTCTTACGTATCGACCTGTTTCTTTTACGGTAATTTTGCTACGAGGTGCTGAGGGGGAATCTCTCGAGGCATCCGAGGGGAGTGAGGCTGCCATGAGTAGGGAGCACATTTTGCGTGTCTGATAGTCGAGCGTGCACCCCTGCGTATCTCCAAATAGACCAGTGATATCCAGCAAAAGTGTCCTCCATCGGAGTATCTCATCGGTACGGAGGGACACGATACACTCCCGAGGTCATTGGTTCAAAATCACATGATCCAACACTAAGCAGAATTTTCTGTTTGTCAAAAGTGCAAACAGAGCTGAGCTAAGAAAAAAAAATATACGTCCTATAAATTCCCTTTCTCTTCCCCTCTCCCTTCTGACTCCATGGCTGACTCAACGTACGTGGAGGCGAGTCCTCAGGATCTGACTGATGATCAGATTCAACAACTGCTCCTGGAGGCAGAGTCCCGACTACGAGCCCCTAATGCAGTGGCTCCAATCGACGACCTGGCTTCCATCAGAATTCCCAAGCTTGCAACCGGCTCTTCACTAGAGGCCTATGTCCGTCAAGGAGATGAGGCTGCGGCCATTAATGCGGCGAAGATTGCTGATCCCATACAGAAGAAGTTGGCCAACTCTCTTCACGACGCTGGGAAGAAGGAAATCAAAGTAAGTCGAAGCCTCTGTCCTTTGCCCCTTCGATCTTGCTATGAGGAAAATATTCCCAACGCAAAGCGCTTGATACGGCGTCATCAGTCCGTTTTGGGCTGTGCTGTACCAGTGAGAGCATCTTTATTCATAGTTACTCTGAGCATCTATCACAACCATACCTTCTCGATGTGCAATGTTTGATCAAACACTGACATTTGACACCTATTAGGAAAAGCCGAATGCAGGTCCCGAGTGGTTCAATCTCCCCAAGACAGAGATGACTGCCGAGCTGAAGAGAGACCTTCAGCTCATCCGCATGCGTTCGGTGCTTGACCCTCACCGACACTACAAGAAGGACAACGGCAAGGCCAACCCACCTGAGTATTCTCAGGTCGGAACCATCATTCAGGGCCCTACAGAGTTCTTCAGCAACCGCATCACCAAGAAGGATCGGAAGAAGAACTTTGTCGAAGAGACATTGGCCCTGGAGCGTGGAACCAAGCGTTTCGAGAAGAAATACAGAGATATCCAGGCCGCCAAAACCAGCGGCAAGAAATCTTTTTACAAGGATCTGCAGGCCAAGAGACGTCGGAACAACAAGTGAATATTTGGTTCTTACTTCCAATCCCAGATTATTCACCAAACGCCCTGGGTCGAGATCGCCCGGGCTCATGTCTTCCCAACCCCGTCTTAAACATGGGAGAAGATACCCAACAGGGTTTGGGCCACCAGGTCCTGGGACTGTCAGTTTCATGACTTGCAACCAATGTGTAAAATCCTCTTACCTGCATGTCAAGGGCTGCCGCTCGGCCAGCCTCCAGGACCTCTTCATGTCCTGCCTTGCCTTCTTCGAGAACAGCATTCAACTCCTCTGCTGATTTCCCTTGGAATGATTCCTCATCTCCTCGGGGCACAGGTGCCAACACAGCCTTGTTGGTGACCAAACTGAAGGCAAGCACTCGAAGGCCACAGTGTCTGGCAGTGACAATCTCCGGTACTGTGGACATTCCTACCACGTCTGCTCCCATCATGCGAAGCATCCGGCTCTCGGCTCTTGTCTCGTAGCTGCATCGCGTTAGCAATTTGAGTTCAACTTGAGATTTCTTTCACTCACGTTGGGCCTCCAACATAAGCATACACTCCCTCGTGCAATTTCCGGTTCTCCGAAGATGACATTTTTTTCCACGTTTGGTGCACGTGTCGTCGAAGCTCAAGGTCATAGGCATCAGAAAGGGGTGGGAATCGCACCCCGAAGTCGTCCTCATTGGGCCCTCTCAGAGGATGGGTTCCCGCCAATCCCGCCAAAAAGAGATGCTGTGAACCGGTGTTAGCCAGATACTTGGGGGTTTTCAGAGTCTCTTACATCATTCAATAGGACGAGATCTCCCACTTCATACTCGGAATTGAGCCCTCCGGCCGCATTGGTCACTGTATAACTCTCAGTATCCTTTCCTTGTATTCTCTGGTTGTAGAACGCACAGACAACCGTGTCCACGCCCAGCTCCTTGAACACTTGAATGGGGAATGCCACTTGATCAATGGAGTGTCCCTCATAGTAACTTCTCCGGGTTAGTACCAGCAGCCTTCGGTTGCGCTATCAACTCACTGAGCACGACCGACCATCAAAACGGCAGGGATCTTCTGGCCAAGATGTCCAAACACCAGCTTTCCCGCGTGTCCAGCAACTGTGAGCCGTCAGCAGTTGTTGTTTCCCGCTTGGATGCAACGCTCACCCGTTGACTGTGGGAAGTGGGGGATAGACTTGTAGTCATATTCCACCCGTGACTCGGGGTGGATGGTATCCGCGAGCCCTCCCAGGCCTGAGCCACATACAATCGCAACCTGGGGCTTCTGTAGGCCTTCGGGCAAGCTGGAGCGGAGGTATGAAACCGCCTCGTTGGCCCGTTTGAACGCAGACTGGTCGGACATGGTTAGTAGATCGAGTCGAAGTACCAAAAGGAAGTGCAGCTGTCGAGAGCAACTTTTCTCAGGTGCGGAGTCATTGTCTCATTGGCCGGCTTGGCGGGGTTCCAATATACCGACTGCCACATCTGCCCGCATTTGGGGTTTGGAGAGTATGGAATTGTAGAGTAGGGGGTGGGATTGAACCCTTGGATATCTCTCTGTGGCACGCTCGAGGGTACTGTGGAATCCATGTTTATGTACGGAGCGCTTCGTATATCTGGATATATGCCAGTCGACCGTTGGTTATTGGACGTCCATGCCGGAGCCATACCTAGCCAGGACTTCCCAGGGCTGAGTATTGTACATTACAGCCTCACAGCCCTATTTATTCTGGTCGTAGAACCCAGAGAAGAAAGATTTAACCGCCTTTCAAAAGCAGCGAGTGTCGAAGTATACCTAGGTACCCTGTAGAGTCGCGTGGTATAGGCTCTCACCGCCCTGGCGTATGCTCCCCGAAAAAACCCATTCCCCAACAACCAACCCTCGTAATAGCACAACTCGCAATGTTTTCCTACACATCACGCTCCCTATTTGGGGTGAGCAAGCACCTCAAGGTATGATGCCCAATCCAATTGGATGTTTCGCGCTAAACATTTCCGGACAGGTGTCGGTGCCATTCCGCGCTCTATCAACTCCAAGCCAACCGACTCCGGAACAAAACAACATACCCAGTCAAGATCCCACAGAGACTTCTACACCACCAGCCCCCGCACACGCAGCTCCCACTTCCTCTGCGGCCTCAACGCCCGCAGACGCCGCCCCGGCTCCAGCCCCCGTGGCGTAAGAGGCCGTCAAAATCTGGGACCCCCGAACATATGGCTGATTGAGAGAATCTAGACCGATCGAAGCCGAAAAATACTCCGCACCGGGCGTGAAAGAGTGGTAAGTATACCGAGAAGGACCTCGAATGCAGGACCTCAAGACCGCCGCTTACAATCCTAGGTCTGAACGGTTAGGGGCATTCGACGAGGAGAACCGTCTTCCCCGAAGCGTGCAAGCGATATACCTACGACCCTTGCGGAGGAAGGCGGAACACGGTCTTCCAGTCTGCAACCTCCAACTGCGATCCTACAGCGTCCGCAACGTGGAATTCTTCGCGGACTTCGCCATCCGCGCCGCTTACTACCTCAACCTCCCTGTGTCTGGGCCTGTGCCTCTCCCTCGCATCACCGAACGCTGGACCGTCCCCCGAAGCAACTTCGTGCACAAGAAGAGCCAGGAGAACTTTGAACGAATTACTCTTCGCCGTCTCATTCAGATCAAGGATGGAAACCCCCGATCCGTGCAAGCTTGGCTTGCTTTCCTTCGCAAACACGCATTCTACGGTGTTGGTATGAAGGCGAATGTCTGGGAGCACGATAGCCTTGGTATGATTGCACCCTTTTTCTGCATCGCTTCCACCATTGCGATACTAACCTCATTCCCATAGACGTCAGCAAATCTATGGACGCGACTGTACTGCAGGTAAACGACCTCCTTGCTTCTGACTTTGAGAGGCTTGCCGGTACTGGAGAACGGAAGCCCGCGAAGAAGGTGTAAGCTCAAAGCTCACCGCCGAGCGGCCATAGCGACCTGTTGGATTTATATACCCGTGAACATCTGAACGGTGTCTTTGCGGCGCGCTGCCTATATTTGATCAAAAAGCCATCAGGCCTTATGTATTTTACTGTTTCATTACCATTCCCGCTCAGACGAGGTTTGCATGCCTAGGTATTCTCAAGTTCTGCGATGTTTCTGCTGTATTGATCGACCTAGGTGCGAGCCATTGTCCTCAATGGATTAATACAACCCATTGACACACATGAGATAGCCACATAGGTACCTATGTAGCTGACTGTACCTACCTATGTACCTATGTATGTACCTATGTAGGTACTTAGGTACCTAGTCTGAGCCGTTAATGTACATAGAGACACGGCACGGTCAAAGTAGAAAACACACGTGACTGCGCCACGTGATGGGAATCCGACATGGCAATGTAAATACATCAGACAATTCTTCTGAGACGGAGGAACCCCAGCCTTGGAGATGTGTTCAAATATACCCCGGCAATGGCATGCTGCATCGAGGTCATTGAGTGGCAAATATCTGCATCGCCAATCGAATGGACTCTCGCATCTCCCGAAGAGATTGAGTAGCTCAAATCACCCGCCAGCCCAGGAACCTATCATATTTTCTGGGATTCAGCCTACGGGTGTTCCACACCTAGGGAATTACCTCGGGGCTCTCCTTCCCTGGGTCAAACTGCAACAGGAGGCTCAAGACGGCACGAAACTCTTTTTCTCCGTCGTGGATCTCCATGCCTTGACGATACCTCAGGAGGCTGCTCAATTGAGAAAATGGAGAAGAGAAGCACTTGCAACGTTGCTTGCCGTTGGCTTGGACCCTAAGCGCTCTACCATCTTCTATCAATCCTCCGTAAGTTGAGTTGACCCAGACGAAGCGGACGCGTTGATTAACCAGCCCCAGGTGCCGGCACATACCGAGTTGATGTGGATTCTCAGCACTGTGGCTTCCATGGGATATCTCTCACGCATGACTCAGTGGAAGGTGAGCGACCCGGGGCTATAGCCTGATTCGATGTTAACCCCAGCCAGAGCAAACTCCAGCTTCCAGACGATGCCACGCTAGATGACTCGACTGCACGAGCCCAGTTGCGTCTTGGCCTGTTTTCCTATCCAGTGCTCCAAGCCGCCGATATTCTGATCCACCGGTTTGTGTGCTCCTGGCCCCCTTTCAAATTTCCAACTAACGAGCCTCAGAGCCACGCATGTACCCGTGGGGGAGGACCAGAGGCAACATCTGGAGTTCTCTCGATATACCGCGAACAGCTTCAACCATCTCTATGGACCCATCTTCCCAACCCCTGAGGCATTAATATGTACGGGCCGATCCCCCTCCCTCGTCCTTCTTTACTAATCTCCTCAAGCTCCGGCCAAACGGGTGATGTCTCTTAAAGAGCCGACCTCCAAGATGTCGAAATCACATGCGGACGAGAAATCTCGCATTATCCTCACCGACTCTCCGGCTGAAATTCGCAAGAAGGTCAAGGTGGCACTCACCGATTCCGAAGCGGGAGTCACCTACGACCCTGTTCGTCGCCCCGGGGTCTCTAATCTGATTGAAATTCTCAGCCATTTGAATGGGGCCTCTCGCGAAGAGATTGTGCGCGAATACCACGGCGCAAGTCTCCGGGCACTCAAGGAGCGAGTGGCCGAGCATATTATCTCGCATCTGCAAGAGATCCGAGATCGATATCTGAGTCTCATGAGAGATTCGACGGGCTACCTGGAGAGTGTGGCTGAGGAGGGGGCGGAGGCAGCGCGAGCCAACAGTCGGGTGACCATGCAGCACGTCCGGGAGGCGATGGGTTTGTAATGTGTATGTATCGAGATGTATTTATATGTATGTGTAAGTTTAGAACGGAGAAATCTGGCTGCCTGTTTACGCGTATGGTATTACCTCAACATAGTAATACCTAATATACCACAGACTACTAGGTATAGATGTGAGCGATATGAATTAGTTCTGTACTATCACATATTAAACAAAAGAACAAGTAGAACTAGTAGAACAAATAGAACAAATAGAAAGAAAGGCAATATAAGCCAAGCTAAGCACCTGGGCATATAAGGACGTCTAGTTCGGGCTTGGCAAGCCATAGTGGAGAGCGTCATCTACGTACGTCGCATACGTATGCCCAGTATAGGCGTAATCGGGTGCTGGCGGATATATGTTGACGTCTCTGCTCTCCACTCGGGCGCTCTGCTCGATTTTTCCTCTGGCCATCTTCCCCTCTCTCTCTCTTGCTTCATTTGCATTGCATAGATCTATCACCATTATTCTTAGAGCCAATTGTGAACCCCCCTCGCCGATCACAGCATTCCGAGCCGAACGAGGATCGGCGCCATGAGAAACGTATGGATCCTATTGGCCGCGGTGCCGGTTTGGGGGATCACCCTGCACCAACGAGAATATCCCGCCGTGGTGCAGATGGACATCCAGCGCAACGATATTGCCGATCCAGTCGCTCGAGATCAAGCCCGGAGAAAACGGTCGACAATCAGCCAAACCTTGGACAATGAGGTAAGAGGTTGCAGTGAAAAGGCTCCAGCGCCATATTGATCTCGCTAGGAAACTTTGTACTTCTGCAATATCACGTTGGGAACCCCCGAGCAGAGCTTCCGTCTGGTGATCGATACCGGAAGTAGCGATCTATGGACCAATACGCCCAATTCTACCTTCTGCGAAAACAAAGAGAATGGCTGCAGCGTGTCGGGTACATATGATCCAACCTCCTCTTCTTCCTACGCCTACGTTAATTCCGACTTCAATATCACCTACGCCGATGGAACCGGGGCGGCCGGGGACTATGTTACCGACACGTTGAGCATTGGCGGCACCAAGGTCAAGGATTTCCAGTTCGGCATTGGCTTTACGTCGGAATCTGCCGGTGAGTGCATCAAGCTGGTGCTACGAGGAGAAGGCTAATACAACGCGCAGAGGGAGTGCTTGGAATCGGATACACCGCGAATGAAGTGCAGGTGGGCGCCAACGGGGATTCGGCCTACGCCAACCTACCCAAGACCATGGTCAACAAGGGACTGATCCAATCGAACGCCTATAGTCTATGGCTCAATGACCTGGATGCGAATACTGGGTCCATTTTGTTTGGCGGAGTCAACACGAAGAAGTATCACGGTACTCTGCAAACCGTGCCCATCCAGAAAGTCGGCAACCAGTACGCAGAGTTCATTATTGCACTCACCGGGATTGGTCTCAGCAACTCTTCAGGGACGCACTCCTACTCATCGAGTGCCATTCCTGTCGGAGTCCTTCTAGACTCTGGAAGCTCTCTCACATATCTCCCAGACGCCATCGTCAACGACATTTATAATGACCTCGACGTTACATACGAATCTCAAAGTGGCATCGGCTATGTGGAATGCAGTCTGGCTTCCAAAGACGTGAACATCAGCTATACGTTCTCCTCGCCGACCATCAACGTCGGTCTTAACGAACTGATCATTGATGTTGGAGATCTCTATTTCCGCAATGGCAAGAGGGCCTGTGTCTTTGGCATTGTGCCCGCTGGAAGCAGCACGTCTGTCCTGGGCGATACTTTCCTCCGTAGCGCATACGTGGTTTACGATCTCGCCAACAACGAGATCTCCCTCGCCAACACTAACTTCAACAGCACCGAGAACGATATCTCCGAGATCGGCACCGGGACTGATTCCGTCCCTGGCGCCACCGCTGTCTCGAATCCCGTGACGACAGCTCCGGTTGGGGGAACTGCAGCTCGGATCGGTGGCATTGGAGGATCAGGGGTGTACACCTCCATCTCTGCGACCGGGAACCTGGCTGTCCCTAAGGCTACTGCCATGCCTAAGCACCTAGCTCTTGGTCTTGCCGGTGCCGGTGCTCTTTGGGCTCTGTGAATGATGGGAGATCCTCACTGACACATGATATTTTGGAATTTAGCATTTTTTGTTTTGGAGTCTGGGCATCGCTATACCTTTATACCTAGATGTTAATCTATTTTGACGTGTTATGAATTGAACAGAAGCATTGAACCAAGATATGTATAATGTATATTGCATTCCGAGAGCTCCAAGTCACCGATGAGTCCAGAGGCGATCAACGGGCCATATCTCTTGGCATTGAACTTGCCCTCCAACTCCCACCATGCCTCGTATTCCTTACTCCCTGATATGGAGAGCACATCGAGAGAATCCTCTGCTACCTCTCCTTCTGAGGGAGTGTCGCACTGTCGATTCTGCCCGTAATGAGCTTCGTTGGCTCTATGAGGCGGTTCGCGAGAAGCCATCTCCCACAAAATGGAGCTGGCTGATATCCATGTGTCGATTACGATCAAGGGGCTTTCCGCTCCAATATATCCTGGGCAATCAGCCATTCGGCGAGTTGGAAATCCTTTGCCACCGGGGAGTCTTGATTCCAAGGTCTGTTCCCCCCAGATCCCAACGTAGAAGTTTTTATTAACACCCTCAAGACCGGAGACTGAATCATATACCTATAAGTCAGCTCAAATTCTCCGTCAACGGAACGAGGGAAAGTCTGAGAGGAAGCTGCGTGTCCTCGACCTTTGCACAGGTACAGGCTGTATATCACTCCTTCTACATACGCTGCTCGCACCTCATTTCCAGAGGCTTTCCATCACAGGGGTGGACATCAGTCCCGTGGCATTGGGATTGGCCCAGAAGAACATCCAGCACAATGTACAACTGGGGCACTTAGCGCCCCATGCCTCTACAGATATCCAATTCCACCGTGCGGACGTCCTTGGGAGTGGCAGTGACTCCCTCACGTCCATCCAGTCATTACTCCAATCCCTCGACCGATGCACTTCGCCGCCATCAGCAAGTGTGCAATACGACCTCCTGATCTCCAACCCGCCGTATATCTCCCGAGCAGAGTTTCGTAACGGCACCACGGCACGCAGTGTGCGACTCTTTGAGCCAGAGCTCGCCCTTGTACCTCCAACGGTCACGGAAACCGGCACCCCGGAGGATATCTTCTACCGCCGGATTCTTTCCTTGGCCCTAGAGCTGGAGACACCGCTCGCGGTGCTTGAGTGTGGAGATATGGCACAGGCCCAGCGCGTGGTGGCTCTCTACGAACGGCTGGGCTCCAACAGCCACTCCAGCGCAGAGATTTGGCCAACCAGCGAACGAGACCTAGCCGAGTATGGTTTCCATGAAACGGACGGGTCTCGCTGTGTGATCATTCAACGACTACTACCATGAGCGTTTGTTTTCATTCCAAGTCATTCTTCCAACGTCCGCATATTAATGATGGACTCGGGCATTAACGGTAATCACAACTTTATTCGCAGCCAACAAGAATATTCCATATGATACACAGAAGGGCATTGGCCTGAACATCTAAATAGGTGCAATCCGTCTGCCATGAAAAGGAAAAAGTATTATGTACAGGTAGCTCCGTAGAGGCCGAATTTGCGTATTACAACAAATAAGTAATGTACGAGGCAAGCTCATACACTTGGATTAGTGGAAACTGGGGGACGTGGGGGAGAGAGAAAAGACCAAACCCCCAGGTCGAAAAGTGGCGTTTCGTCCGCCGTGTATCGTCAAGATGCAGTTGAGAACCATAAAATTCGCAGAAACCGCCAAGTCGTGAACATAAAAGGAGACGTTCAAAGGTCCTTCTTCTTATCAGCGGAGTAGCTGCGATCGTCCTCACCCTCGACATCCTTGAGGATGGACTCCATCTCCTTGGCCTGGCGCTTCCACTCCTTGTCGCCCATCTTGGTTTCGCGACGGAAGAGTTCTTCGTTGGGCTTGCGGTAGCTGCCTCCCAGACGGTCCCAGAGGGTCGTGAATTGCCCATAGTTGTAGTTGAAGTACAAGTGGTGCATGGTGTGGCAAGCTGCGCCGTTCACCACGGGGCTGTTCGCGACGTATTCGCCGTCGTGAATAAAGACCGTCCAGAGATTGATGAAACCGAAGAGGAAGACGTAGGCCACCTTTTGCAAGGGGAAGACGAAGGGGAACACGTGGTACGGGACACTCTGGGACCAGCCGTCGAGCGGGTGGAAGGCATGCGAGGCGTATGGGCTCGGCATGATCCACTTGTGGTGCGGCTTGTGCAGGGTCTTGTAGACGCGCGGGTGGTGGAGGCCGCGGTGAATCCAGTAGATGAAGAAATCGGTGAAGCAGATGAAGAAGGGGAATTGGATGAGGCTGTAGTAGGGGAAGGGCTCCTCCGCGGTGGTGTCGTAGAGTTTTGCGAATCCGCGAACCTCGAGCACGAAGAAAGGTGCCGTGAGAAGGGCCATTGGGGGCATGGCTTCCATTGCTTGTCGGATCTCCATCTTGATCTGGTTGCGCAGGAACTTCGGGTGCTGGTAGGTTGTCTTGTCCCAGATAAAGACGTACGAGAGCGATGCGACGACAAAGTAGACCAAGAGGCCAAAGAACCTACGTGCGGTCAGTGAGGGATCTCGCAGGATCGACGAGTGGCGCATACCAAGTGATCAGGAAGAAGCTGGTGAATTGACGGTAGATATTGTTCCGCGGCCAGGCACTCAAGTAGGCGTACTTGGAGGGCTCCAGGTACATCATCTGAGTCGCCTGTTCATAGACGAAGGGCTCTGGAGACCCAAAGAGGGCCATTGTGCTGTTGGCGGCATTAGCGAAGGCCGGCAGGGAGACCGACGCGGAGATTGAGGCCGGGAGCACTGTGGAGTAAAGACGGTCTCCAATGAAGGTATCCCATAATTCCAGAATGATATCCATTGTGAGGGTTGGGGGAGGGGGAAGAAAAGATAGGTCCGGGAGAAAAGGAGGAACAATAAAACTCGCTGGCAATCACACCAGCGCGGAACCACCGCAGCCGGTTAATCAGCCCAGGGGTAAGTATAGATGGGCTGATGCATTATCTTTGTTTCTACTCGGATTGGATGTTCATTTCCGACAAGAGAATTAGGATCAGGATATTTGTGACTATTTCCAGCTCTTCTACGGGAATACTTGACTCTATTGAGATAAAAAGATGAAAGGGAAAAAAAAAAAAAAACGACGTGCAGCAAAAACAAGAGGCCCCTTCGCCACAAATCTGCCTTATTGGTGAGGCCACGATTGACACCTGCACAACCAGGCAGAATACCCAAATACCACCCGTACCGAGGGGGTACCGAGGGGGTACTGCACGGGGCAGCGGCAGTTCCACTTTGGCTTCCCGTACTCAGAGGTACCTCCACTGCCCGCCTTTCCGGCTGTAGATCCAAGTATTCCCTGGGTACCTTCAGCCCCCATTGCGTAGCTAGATTACCGTCATGTAAAATATAGGAATTTCTTGACTGTACGACGTTTGTGCCAATGCAAACGGGAGGGTCTTTGAGGAATTGAGGATTCTTTGTAGCAGAGGGAGATAACATCTTCTCTTTTCCCCCTTCCCCTCAGCAAGTGTGAACAAGACAAGAATCCCGGAAGTGAAGATCCTAAATCTCGGGCGCTAACCGCCCACCTCGCTTCTCGCGTTAACCACTGCCGCCGTTCTCAAACCTTCCCGCTCCGCTTTAAAGTGTCATCTGCCAGCCTCTTCACCCCTCTAACCCGCTATCCTCACCCTTTCCCTCCACTTCATTCTACCATCGCGGTGGCGAGCGGCGTGGTGTAACCCAGCATTGAAGCCTCAGTGGTCGATCTAGATCATTGAGCTCCCCGCGACTACTTGCGAACCAGCTCAGCTCCCTGACTGTGCTCGAGATCCCTCAAAACCCTAAGCGCTATGTACAACACTCATCGCGGGATGGTGCCCGCTCCTAACTCCCGTCTGACGGAGTTGCTCGACCAACTGCGCCAGGAATTTGAGAGCCAGTCGCGCAACACCGGCGAATTTGAGCACCAGTGTATGTCATTGAAGCCCTCGTCCCTGTTCCATTGACATGCCCTCCTCTACTGGGGCTCTGTGTCCTAGGGAGGCTCCCTTCCCTGTTCAACCCCTTCATCTACATTGGCTGCAGCTTCATGGGTTCCGACATTCGCTGAAATGTTATCTAACTGACAGATCATGCAGTGACCGGACAGCTCCAGGAGATGGAGATGATTCGTCAGAAGGTCTACCAGCTGGAACAGGCCCAGATTAAGATCAAGCAAGAGTTCGTCCCTTCCTCACGCCCGGGGTGCACCCAAATCTCTAACCGTCGCATCGTGCGTCCAGTTACGAGGCCGAAATCCGCATGCTGCGACACGAACTGGAATCGCGCGGCGTCCAGACCATCCCATCCCACATCGGTGGACCCGCGGCCGCCGCCGCGGCCGCCGCGGGCCATTCCGCGAGTGCTCAGGCTCCCCCGCCGGCACTGGGCCACGGCCCCAGTAATCTGTTTGGAGGTATTATGACCAATCCACCAGGTAGTGGCCCCGGTCTTGCCCCTCCCCTCCCCCAGGATCAGCAGCCTCCCCAGCATGCCCTTCAACAGCCTGCCACGGTCGCCCAACCCGGTGCGCCGCAACCCCCGCAGAGCTCATTTGGATACCAGGGCGGCGCTGCTGTGAACGGTATGTCGTGATGTTTATGACGGTTGGGATCTGGCTAACGCGTGTCCTTCCCCGTTCTTTAGGCTATGGACCCCCTCCTCCCCCCACCGCGTCTCCCGGCCCCGGCAAGGGTCGCGGCCGTATTCCCCCAGGCCCAGCGACCCCCCAGCAAACCCAGCTTGCCTACCCAGATCCCCGTGCGTCTCCGCAGATCCCTCGTCCCACTCCCCCCAACCCGCCTCTGGGCGGCCGCACCGCAGAGCGCCCGGGAAACATGCTGGCCAACTGGAACCCCGATGACCTGCCTCCATCGCAAAAGCGCGAGGGCAACGACTGGTACGCCGTGTTCAACCCCGAGGTGCAGCGTGTTCTTGATGTGGATCTGGTGCATCACTTGAACCATGACAGTGTGGTGTGCTGTGTGCGCTTCAGTCGGGATGGCAAGTACTTGGCTACCGGCTGCAACCGCTCGGCTCAGATCTTCGATGTGAACACGGGACAGAACGTGGCCACCCTCCAGGACGAGAATGTGGACAAGGACGGTGATCTGTATATTCGCAGCGTTTGCTTTAGTCCCGACGGCAAGTATCTGGCAACCGGTGCCGAGGATAAGCAGATTCGCGTAAGTTTTGAGATGGCCTCTGGAGATTGATCTGCCAGCCCCCCCCCCCCCCCCCAACCGGACAGCTAGCTGACATGATACAAATGAACAGGTCTGGGATATTAATGCGCGCACCATCAAGCACATCTTCAGTGGACACGAGCAGGATATCTACTCTCTGGACTTTGCTGGTAACGGCCGTTTCATTGCCTCTGGCAGTGGTGATAAGACTGTGCGCCTGTGGGATATTCTCGATGGCAAGCTTGTCTACACTCTGAGCATCGAAGATGGTGTTACTACCGTTGCGATGTCCCCCGACGGCCGCTACGTGGCTGCCGGATCCTTGGACAAGAGTGTCCGCGTGTGGGACACCACCACTGGCTACCTGGTGGAGCGCCTGGAGAACCCCGATGGCCACAAGGACAGTGTCTACTCGGTTGCCTTTGCGCCCAACGGCCGCGATCTCGTCAGTGGCAGTCTGGACAAGACCATCAAGCTTTGGGAGCTTACTGTGCCCCGAGGCATGCACCCTCACAGCGCCGTCAAAGGTGGCAAGTGCATCCGTACTTTCGAAGGTCACAAGGTTTGTATCCCTCCCGAGTCATCTTCAGAGCCTCTTCTAACGTTTGGCCAGGACTTTGTGCTCAGTGTGTGTCTGACCCCCGACGGGGCTTGGGTGATGAGTGGTTCCAAGGACCGCGGTGTCCAGTTCTGGGACCCGGTGACTGGAAATGCCCAGATGATGCTTCAGGGACACAAGAATTCAGGTTAGTCTACTCCTCCCTTCCTCTGGGCGCCTCTCTAATCCATTACAGTCATCTCGGTTGCACCCAGCCCCACTGGCAACTTGTTCGCTACCGGCAGTGGAGATATGCGTGCCCGTATTTGGAGGTAAGTCTTTCTTTTCGTTTTGAAATGATCGTAAGCTGACTGGAATGAAGATACTCGCAATACCAGGGACGTTAAGTTTGATACCGAGTTGGCGCAATGTGTTTTTCTTTCTTTTTTCCCCCTTGATTTCTTTTTTTTTATACTGCCATTGCTGGGATTATGTTCTATCTATCAATTCTATACTCAACACTTTGGTGTGCGTTGTAACAAAAAGCAAATTGACCGAGTCTGTAGAGTATAAAGTCGAGGGGAAGTTGAGTAACTCGGGGACATTCTGGAAGCTAACTTCTCCCACTCCCCGACTCATTCCCAGAGCCTCGAGAATCGCATCCTTACGGACTCTGTACTCTGCATGTACCCTGGATCTTGGTAGTATTTGATACTCCTTCCTCCGTACGCGGTACTGTACTGTCGCACCTCTTGATCTCGGTGCTTACGGTCAACTCTGGGATCAGCGTGGAACGACCGACCCGGCCAATGGCGAAAGCCTACATCTGGAAACCACTTCACTAGTCGCATCCATTCGCATCCCTGCAGGAACCATTCTCATACTCGACGCAAGACGTGCAGGGTTGCCACTCGTGTCAGCGCCTCACGGCTGTCACTTCTCGGATCGCTCCCAGGAATTGAGCTAGGCCCCTTTCTGACCATGATCGCCACGGGATAAGCCTAGTCAGTGGGCTTCGGGGGTCGCGCTGAGCGACGATCCAGCTGCCTCAAAATAAGAACCACACAGCCTGTGCTCCAGGGGCCAACTTCCCAGCACCAATCCCTCCCCGGTGGAGCGGGAGGCGACGAATCAGGGGCTGCACTTATTTCAGCCATTTAGCCCATCTCCAGTCCTGTTCGAAGCTCATTTGGCCATTTGGGCTGATTTTACCCAGGTGGAGCAGGTTTGGGTCACGAGGCCAGGCAATTCCCAAGGCCTTGGGCGGCTAACTGGGATATTCGATGGGCTGAGATCGGACACTATTGGCGACTATCGGGATGGCGCATCGTACTGGTAAATTACCAGACCATTGAGCAATCAGATGCTGACTCCGAGATCGACTGAATAATCTACATGTCGACTGCAGGTCGATCACGGTCCACTTTGAAATTCCGCGATTTCAAGGGCCGGCCCGTCCTCGAGGCAGAGACAGCACTCGTTTCTTTTTCGAATGTTGCTTTCTTTTTTGGAGGGGAGGGTCTGACAGGTGTCAGTTCTCCGGCCTCGGAATCAGATCCTCAAGGACCACGGGGAAAGGGAGAAAGAATGAAAAGCAGAACTATCGCCAGTCGCGGCAGCGAGTATTGTGTGACAATCTCTCATTCGGACATGAATACATTACCACTAGTTCCTTGAGAACTCGACATTCCTCGTGGTACAGAACTTGATGCGTCCAAAGGGCCCATGCAGGACGCAATGCAACCTGTATGAACTCCAGTTCGTGATTTGATTTCTGATCTTTGGCTCCTCGGTGGAGCTTTCAGGGATATCCCCGATCGTCAAATGGTACTTGTCTCTACTCCGTACAGGACACTCGCTGCAGATGGCCTCGAACTTGTCCCCGACTGCTCCCCCCCCTTTTTTATTCTTTTTTCCCCCTCTCTTTTTTTCTCTTGGGGATTTCCTGCTACGGTCAATATCAAACGTCATACAGATCAACAGCGTCGAGCTGACTCCCCTCTTATATCTAGATCGGACGCCACGGTTGACGCGGATGATCACCGCTAGTTGTCAATCATTTATATCTTCTCTTCACACGGCATGACCTGCATATAATTGCTATTTCTTCAGTATATATACCCAGATCTATAGATTGCGCTTTGGCCGGTCTGTTTGTCTATTCCCATTGCTTCTTCTTGAACAGCCAGAACCCAAATATCTATACTTCGGTATACATCATGGAGACCGCAGACCCAGTGTCCTACGAGTTCTCCGGCCAGGCCGCTTACACACACCGGCGCCTGGACTCGACGCTGAGCCAGAACTTCCCCTTCTATCCAACGCCATACTCGTTGCCCTATCAGGCCTCCAGTCACCCTTACAGCTTCGCCCATTCTGTGAGCCCGGGACATGCGCACTCGAATCCATATCAATACTATGTCTCCAACCACATTCAGCCGCATCCGCTGCGTCTGACAACAGAGCAGCCGCTGCAGACCCTGCCCGAGATTCGCCCGGCCAAAAATGCCATCACCCAGGCAGCAAAGACTCCTGACAGCCCGGAACCGCCGAGCGGGTGTCGCACTTCGGCAGATGGAACAGCAAAGAAGCAGACACCCGGCGAGATCGTCTTCTCGACCAACGTGGACGTCCTGATGAAGGCCATTCAGTCCAAACACGCCCCGTCATCGACCCCACCCCAACCACACCCTCAGTCCCTCCCACCACGGCAGTCCCTCCCATCTCAACAGCCCCTACCGCCTCTCCAGCAACACCTAGCCCCAACGGCACACTATGGAGTCCCTTACCCAGCCACACCCCCACGATACTTCCTCGCCAACGAGGGCCAGCTCTCCCGCTCGGGTAAGAAGCGCAAGTACGTGTGCGAGCGAGATGACTGCGGCAAGACCTTTGCCCAGAAGACCCATTTGGACATCCACAAGCGGGCACATTCGGGTGAAAAGCCCTTCGTGAGTAGAGAACTTTGATTGGCCATGTGGGATTTGAAAGCTCACCCTTTGCAGGTATGCGACGTACCCTCATGCGGGCAACGTTTCTCGCAGCAAGGCAACCTCAAAGTAAGCAAAGCCACGTCAGACCACACCCTTCGGTCACACTAACACCGACGCAGACCCATAAACGACGACACACGGGCGAAAAGCCCTTTGAGTGCGAACGCTGCCACAAGAAATTCGCCCAACGAGGCAACGTTCGCGCGCACATGTTAACTCACGACGAGGGCCGGAAGTTCAATTGCCTTCTTGATGATTGCGGCAAGACTTTTACCCAGTTAGGCAACCTGAAGGTACGCGCATACTCTTTGCATTAGGGGCGTACGTACGAACTAACGAGCCAGTCTCATCAAAATAAGTTTCATGCCTCGACGCTCCACAGCCTCACGCAGCGATTTTCGCAAATCGGGGAAAACGGACCCGCCAACTCTGCAGACCGTCTTCTCTGGGAATATTTTGCAGATCTATACAAGAACAGTAACAAGGGCATCAAAGGGCGGGGAAAGGACCGTCGTATTTCGACCAAGAGGCCTCGAGACTCCATGGAGCGTGTCTCGGTCGAGTCTGATGAGAGTGTCAAGATGCGACGGAGCAGTTATGATTTCTCGGTCTCGGTTTACGGATCTAGTGATGGCGAAGAGGGCTACTATGTTCGACGGCCACAGCATGGTCACTGAGAGTCAATTTTTTTTAGTTCTTTTTTGTGTGTATTTTGATATCCCCTACGGTTTGGAAATGTTGGAGTCTTTGGATATTCCGTATAGCTCTGGAGCCAAGCCAGGTTTGTGACATCTCGGAAATGTGCGATTGTTTGGATACCTGGATATTTGGACATTGTACTCCGTACATACAATAATTATCGGTCAATATACCTTTGCCCCTTGCATGTGAGCAGTGACACAAGCTGAACGCAGATCAATACTCCCTACGACTACGGAGTAAATAGCTTTGTGAATATGTGAGAAATGGCTTTTTCATGGTCTGACGAGATAAGTGTACATGTTAAAGAAAAAAGAGGAAAAAAGACTCCGGCCATAAATCATGGAAACCAACTGATTACACGCGTGAAGGTGCATAGCCCAAAAAGAATCCTATTGCACACCGGCGTCCACATCCGCATCCGCAATGTCTAGGTCACCATCAGTGGCCCCAGCAGGTGCTTCGGTTCCCAGAGGAGTAGCATTGGCCAGGGCATCAGAGATAAAGGCCTCCTCGACGGCGACCTTTCGACGGAACACGCGGAGCCAGCGGCGGCCCCATTGACGGATGATGACATCCTCAGGCAAATCGCCCGAGCCATCACCACGCTCCATCTGTTCATCATTGCTTCCCGCGGCGATGGAGACAATAGAGTCCTCAATGTACTTGAAGAGGGTTTGCATGTCTTCGCGTTCACGGGAGAGAGTCTCGTCAATGGCTGTCAGCTGGGGCTCGTAGAGGCCAGGCTGGGTGCGGGCAGCGACGATCTGGCGCATGCGGTTGGTGACCTTTCCGACGGTGGCGGAGATCATCTCAAAAACGTGGGGCTTGGAGAGGATGGTGCCAGCGGCGACGGACTCGACAAAAGCCCACTCGAGGACGGAGAGGGGGCTGAGGATGGTGTAATTAAGCAGCTTGTCGATGATGTTGATGGCGATGCCGGGCTGGTCGACCCAGTATTCCATAACCGAGGTGATGATCTGGGTGCGGGCATGTTTGGACTCGGCACCGATGGTCAGGAGACGGTCTTTGCTGCGGTCAATGCAGGAGAGGACGTGAGAGAGAGACTTGGAGCCAACAAAGCAGATCGAGGTGACGAATGCATCCGTGGAGGGAATCTTTGGGTCTTCGACACCTTGACTCTTGGCCTGGTCCTCGATGGCCGTGATCACCGGCTGGATCTCTTCATCAGTGGCCTTCTTCCGGATAAGTTGCATAATCTCTTGTCCCTCTTTAGCGTATGGTGCCACTAAAGCAAGGTTAGCAGTTGTCCGAGCAGACTGACTCGAGAACAAACTCACTGTCAGACGCATATTTGAACTCAGGGGTATCCTTTTCCTTGCCCGAAGTGATCAACTTGGGGTACGGTTCGGGGAGAGTTCCCTTGATGCGCTGCGCAAAACTCAAGCGAATCTCCTTGTCCAAAGCGCCGTTGATGAACGCAATCTTTGGGTGGATAGCGGGAAGATCCAGATCGTCGGTCCTAGAAAACGTTTAGACGAAAGCAAAATGAAATGCGGATATCGACATACCACTCGCTCCATTTCCACGTAAAGCCAAAGTTGCTCAGATGATGGGCAAACCAGTCCAAGAATCGTTGGCTAAGCTCCAAATCCATGGTGTCTAGGTTGTTATACAAAAAGCGGATCGCACGGCCAAGACTTGGTGCAATCGCTGCTGGGGCAATCTTGCAGCACTCAGTGAGAACAGAGTGGTAGTAGACGAGCTTGTGCTCCGCAGCAGGCAGCTGGAAGAGCTGCGAGAAGACTGCGTCCACAGCGACATCCTCCGGCTTCCAGGGCTGGATTTCACCCGCGAGCTCGCGCATACGGTCGAAAGGTGTCGCGCGCTTCACAAATGTGTAGGGGGTGAAGTAGCAATCGATATCAATCAAGAACTTAGCCGTGGCAACGCGGTTGAAGTCCAGCAAATTAATAGTATCAACCAATGCGTCCCGAATGAGAGACGAGGAAATGTCGTCAGTTGAAGGAACAGTGTCGACTTCCTGGTCAGCGTAGACCGAGAGGTAGACCTCCGGGAAGAGGGGATGAGGGCCATTTGGCACGGGGCTAGGTACCGTGATCTCCGGGAAAGCCACCTTGGTCACTGAATCGAATGACTTGAACTCGTCCGTCTCAGGGTCGCGGAGATCCTTCCAAGGACGAGGGAGGCACTTCAGCTCCCATCCATTGCTAGCTTCCCTTTGAAGCTGGCTCTGCATCAGGCTGATAACGCTCTGACCAGCTGCAGACTGGTTCTCCTCGGGGCTGAACGTGTTGACCAGATCAACGAGGGCGTGGGGTGTAGTCGCAATGATGTCAGTTTTCTCCAGGAGACCACTGGCCTGCGCCTCGAACCCAGAGGCCGGAGACAGCATCACATATGGAAGGGTGAATTGGATAACCTTCACTAGCTCAAGGCCCAGAAGCTGCAGATTGTTAGACAACAGGGCCAACACTCAGAATCGCAGAATCAACTTACATCCTCGGATGAGGCAGTTTGCAGGTCCACAGCGCGAGCAAAGAGCTCCTCCAAGAGCGGGAAAATGCCCTCGCCCTCATAGAGTGGCTGAAGAAGGCCCAAGAAACGAACCAGGAGCTTCACCTCGCGCCACGCGCCGGTATCAATGTATTTCTGTAAAGCTCCAGCGGCCTTGGTGATGATTTCCGATCCAAGCTCAGGTTTCAGACTATGCGCGACGAGAACGGTACCGGCGATAAAGGGGATTTTCATAGGTTGTTCATGAACCCTGCAAATCTCATTAGCTGGGTCCCAGGCAATGCGACGCCTGGCACGTACAGGTCAAGGGAGATGTTGACAAAGTCGCGGCGAATTTCTTCGTCATCATAATTGTCCGCCACTGATTTCGCAATGCCCTGGATATCATCCTCCACTCTACGAGCGGCCTGTCAGATTCCCAAGCGTTAGCGGGCATCAAACAATGCCCAGGAGAGTGACCTACCGATTCAGCAATTGTCAATAGCTGCCGACGAATGACAGCGAACAATGGCTCCTCATATCTGCGTCTCTGGGGGCGGCGATCGAAATCATCGTCGTCTGATCATCACGGTTAGCATGGGTCTGGTTGCAGGGAAGCTCGGCGCGTTCACCTCTGTAGCGGCGCTTGCGCCCACCGCGGTCACCGCGACCCTGGTTTCGACGGTCGTATTCGGACATCGTCCCTGGTTGCTATAAGGAATGTTTGGGGGAGCGGAGTGACAGCTGAAGCTTGGGGTGGATGTGGTAGGCGGGAAGTGGATTTTCCGGTCCGGGGCCACTTGCAAGAATCCAGGGAGCTATACCGATTGTGTGTATACGAACTCGATCTCTATAGATCTGCACTTCGTCCAATATCAATTTACGTGCCATAGTCTCTCGTCGACTCTATTCTACAAGACTACACTGGAAAGCCGTCCTAAGAACTGAAATGACATATAGCTTGGCCGGCAGGGAACCAGCCGAGCCCGATGAATCTGATACAAGGATATTGCGGACGAAACAGATCAAAGAATCAAGAGAAGAGCGAACGGGGTTTCTAGTGCTGCAAGTCGACAGAGATTGGCCGAGAAATTGCCCGGGGTCCTCCCTCAGAAAAAAAAAAACACAAAAAAAAAAAAAAAAAAGGGGGGGGGGGTTCAAAGAAAAGAGCAGGGCCTTCTCCGGAATAGCGCCCCAAACCCCGGAGGCCAGAA